TCTGGGCTCTGGCTGGGCCACTCAAGGACATTCAGAGACTTGTCCCGAAGCCACTCCTGCGTTGTCTTGGCTGTGTGCTTAGGGTCATTGTCCTGTTGGAAGGTGAACCTTCACCCCCAGTCTGAGGTCCTGAGCGCTCTGGAGCAGGTTTTCATCAAGGATCTCTCTGTACTTTGCTCCTTTCATCTTTCCCTTGATCCTGACTAGTCTCCAAGTCTGTGCCGCTGAAAAACATCCCCACAGCATGATGCTAACACCACCATGCTTCACTGTAGGGATGGTGCCAGGTTTCCTCCAGACGTGATGCTTGGCATTCAGGCCAAAGAGTTCAATCTTGGATTCATCAGACCAGAGAATCATGTTTCTCATGGTCTGAGAGTCCTTTAGGTGCCTTTTGGCAAACTCCAACTCCATCATGTGCATTTTACTGAGGAGTGGCTTTCGTCTGGCAGCTCTACCATAAAGGCCTGATTGGTTTATTGCTGCAGAGATGGTTGTCCTTCTGGAAGGTTCTCCCATCTCATTTTACATTTACATTTTAGTCATTTAGCAAACGCCATCCCTGCCGGCCAAACCCTCCCCTACCTTGGACGACGCTGGGCCAATTGTGCTCCGCCCCATGTCTCCCGGTCGCGGCCGGCTACGACAGAGCCTGGATTCGAACCAGGATCTCTAGTGGCACAGTTAGCACTGCGATGCAGTGCCTTAGACCACTGCGCCACTCGGGAGGTTGGTCACAGAGGAACTCTGGAGCTCTGTCACAGGGATCATTGCTCAGTTTGGCCGGGAGGCCAGCTCTAGCAAGAGGCTTGGTGGTTCCAAACTTCTTCCATTTAAGAATGATGGAGGCCACTGTGTTCTTGGGGACCTTCAATGCTGCAGAAATGTTTTGGTACCCTTCCTCAGCTCTGTGCCTCGACACAATCCTGTCTCGGAGCTCTACGAACAATTCATTTGACCTCATGGCTTGGTATTTGCTCTGACATGCACTGTCAACTGTGGGACCTTATATAGACAGGTGTGTGCCTTTCCAAATCATGTCCAATCAATTTAATTTACCACAGGTGGACTCGAAGCAAGTTGTTGAAACATCTCAAGGATGATCAATGGAAACAGGATGCACCTGAGCTCAATTTTGAGTCTCATAGCAAATGGTCTGAATACTTATAAGGTATATCTGTTGTTTATTTTTAATACATTTGCAAACATTTCTAAAAACCTGTTTTTGCTTTGTCATTATGGGGTATTATGTGTAGATTGATGAGGGACATTTTTTATTTAATCAATTTTAGAACAAGGCTGCAACGTACAAAATGTGGAAAAAGTCAAGGGGTCTGAATACTTTCCATATGCACTGTATATATACACTAGGTAACTAATAGTGGGTGCTGTGTTGAAGCCACCATCATCCATCTTGGCACTCCCCCACTGTTGTAAAAAATATTTTGGAAGCTATAGAAAGGCATTTATTATTGTCTACATTCGTTTTTGCCACGTTTATTTTATTACAGACACCTTAATGTGAGCTAAACATTTTTTTTAATGAAGGGGAAAAAAGTATAAAAACATGTTCCTTAAAGTACCATTTTTTTAGATGAGTAATGTTATTGTCCCCACTACAATAACAAAAATCCTTAAATACATATAATTTTGTCCTGTAGATATTTATTCATTCTTATGGAAGTCTGCTCCTACTGGGGAGTGCCAATATGGCCAAAATATAGCATCAACGATCCAGGGTTTGTATACATTATTGCCTACATCAGATGACAATTCTCCTAATATGTTGGAATTTCGGTTCTAGGACCCAGCGCTCCCCAGAGTGTGTAAACTTCAGAGACGGAAGAGGAAGCGAGACACCCCACTCGATGTTTTTTTATTTTTTGTCAAACGAAAGTCCAAGAACTAAGTAGACCAGACCCAGCTGCAATTGCATCGGTGTCTATGGGAGATCCACCCCGTTAAGTAGACCGGAACTTACCATTTTCAATAGTAAACGGCCTGAGTGAACAATCTTCATTTATCCGCCATTCACTTCTTCTTTTGGCTCGATTTATTTTTCTCCTGTGATCATAGCTGCGCTCAAACACCAGCCATGTTTGCTCATTTGAAACCCAAAGGTTAGAGAATACCTGTTTATTATTTACATCGCCTGTACGGTCTTCAACCATATTTGTTGAAATTCAATGTTTACAAGGTAAGTCAGTTTTAATTAAAATTTATGTCAAACTTTTGAGTTGTGTGTGTGAGAGGAAGGATGATGATGATGTCTGATGCTGTCTCACATCTCAGGCGAATACAGCGAAAACAATGTGCGTTTATTAGCTAGTTAACAAAAAAGAAGCATTCACAATGTTCAGATACGTAAACAAAAACGATACTCCAAGACTACTGATGTTATTACTCTCCACGTGTTTCATTAACTAGTTATCATCGCAAAAGTTTAAAGAGAACAGACCCGCTGTGACTGTATTATTAACTAGTTTTACAGGTAACTTCTGTTGATTATTGTCAATAACCTTGAATTTAACATGATCTAATAAGGGCCTAGAGTTGTCGAATATTATGTTGAAACGATAAGCAAATTCAATAATTTTAACCCGATTGTGTTAAATGTAGTTTCATCTCACCTAACGAACTCCTTGGTGGATTGTTTTTGTTGCAGAGCGTACAGTAACGTTATAAAGATATCAAATCAGATACTAACCTAGCGCCGTATTGCTAACTAGATAACGTTAGATAGCTAACAGTCCATAGTAGGCCTAAGGTTAGTTGGAAATGACGTTAACCATCTGGTGGCGAGTTTTGAATGAAAGCTAATTTAGCTAGCTAGTCAAGATATGGACAATAACAAAAGTAAACATGTTTATGCAACTGCTGATGCCACTTCTTCAATTCCACAGTACAAGCCCTAACGTGAAGACCTTTTTGTTTTTGTTGTTGACAGTTTTGATAAACAACTAGATAGCGGGATGGTTTAGCTAGCTAGCAAACAATCAACTTCAACTGGACAAGTTAAATAGCGAGCTAATGTAACCATGACACGTTATCATGAACGACTGCAATAGCTAGATTGCTGGCTAGTTGAGCCTTGGATGAGAGATTCAGGTCTATGCAGACTGCAGTGGAGGCTCCTCAGAGGAGGACCATCCTCAGTGAATTTCATACATTTTTTACAACATTTAAAAAGTTAACCTTTTTAGATAAAACTATACTAAATATATTCACGTCACCAAATATTTGATTAAAACACACTGTTTTGAAATGAAGGTCTACAGTAGCCTCAACAGCACTCTCTGGGGTAGCACCATGGTGTAGCCGGAGGACAGCTAGTTTCTGTCCTCCTCTGGGTATATTGACTTCAATACAAAACCTAGGAGGCTCATGGTTCTCACCCCCTTCCATAGACTTACACAGTAATTATGACAACTTCCGGAGGATGTCCTCCTACCGATCAGAACTCTTGCAGCATGAACTGACATTTTTTCCACCCAATCAAAGGATCAGAGAATGAATCTAGGACTGAAAGCATAAGCTTTTTTTTCTTTTCAGTTTCACTTTAGCTAGCAAATGCAGCTAGCTAGTTTAGCCTACTCAAACACCCTGCTCAAACAGAGGGATGCTATGTTAGCTAGCTGGCTATGACTATCCAACACAACACTGGAACTCTTCCAAGTCATGGTAAGCTTTTGATCTGACTAATTTATTGCCACTGGGGCCCACCGGTGTAAGTGCTACACTGCTTACTGTACACTGTAAAGTTACTGCATGATTGTAGCTTGTTTACTAATGCGTTAGTTCTATTAGCTATGTTGACTACGATGTTACTTTAGCTAATACGTAGGCTGTGAGTATTGGTTATGGTTTGGCTTGGAAAGTTTTTTTTGCCTGGTCACATACAGCTGATGTGTTGTGCACTGAAGTCCACAAGCGAAGGTAAAAGCTGAGAGGAGGAGAGCACATAGATGCGAGAAGGAATACAACATGGCTGCTATGAAAGAGAACTGTGTTTACATGTGATCAGGGGTGTATTCATTCCACCGATTCTGTCAAACAGTTTCTTAAACGGAAGCAAACGGAACGACACGGGATGAACATACCTGAATTTGTCCAATAGAAACTCTTGTTTGCAACTGTTGGACTAATGATTACACCCTAGATCAGCTAGATGCAGGCAAAAGTGTGCAAGGCAGTATTGAATGTGTCACTGTCTGTCCATGTGTCACTGTCTGTCACCTCAAATTTTTCTCTCGACCTGTGTGCACCTACGTTGTAAACTTTCATTCATAGGCTAGGTTGTAGCAATCTCATGATGGGTAAAGGGAAAATTAGAATATCATGTAGTAGCCTAAACTTATCGCTGTTACATTGAACCGGGAGAATAGAATATTAATGACAGTCATCCTATATGCTATAATAAAAATAAGGCCATGCTCATGAAAAAAAAGGTCCTCCCTCATCTTAAACGGCACTGACCGCCACTGATGCAGAGGGTGCTATCAGCCACAGCGCATGGTCACATGTAGCAGACAGCCTAGCTAGTAAGCAATGACAACCAAATCTAATTTTCTATCGTTAGAAAGTAGCTAATAAATGAATAACTACGGAAGTTGTCTGTTTTCTAATTGCAATTACCATGATTTGTGATATGGCTAAGATTTGCGCCGATCTAGCTAACTAGTATAGCTTAATGAAACCAATGTTTTCAACTAGCTAGTGTTAGCTATCTCTTCATGCTAATATGTGTTTATCGTGGGATGGATGTTGAAAAACGCAGTTAAACATTGGGTTTACGAACGGGCAGATGTTCCATACAATATGTAGCTACTTGTTGAAAACCACGATATACCTGCTCTAACTGCAACATTTTGAGGTAGTTGTGGAAGTGCAATGTTTGTGATGTCGTCATCATTCATAGCCATCTATAGGCTTGCCAATGCCTGCATTGTAACCAATACATTTTAGTGTATGGATCTAGCTAGCTGCTTTATTATTTATTTAAAAAATCACATACTATTTGCTATTTAGTTTATACTGCTCACTTATTTTATTTATGGAAACCATCGCATGTGTATTCTGCTTATAAGAATAGCCTATTATGAGAGCTGCAGGGAATTTGTGAATTTTATTTGATGTGCAGGGTAAAATAATATTTCCTGGTTTATTTATTGTTTCTCTTCATGACTTGTGGTCTTTGCTACCTGTTTTTCAGATGGAGGCGAACAACCATTTCAACTATGGCACCCACTCCTCTGTGTCTGCTAACTCAGGACTGAAACTCTCCTCAGAGGATTCTGTCTATACTAACGGGTCCTCCATGAGTTTTCCTCAGCAGGAGAAGAGTGAGTACAGCCCCCGTTTTCTGTGGTTACTCTGTCTCACTATTTCTATATCAATAACTGATTTAGATTAAGCTCTCTCTGCCCCAGTCTTTTGACCCCTTATAATGTGCAAAATATTGTATCTAACTCTAGAGCAGGTGTTCGGTGCATAAGCAATATCCTGTTGAATATCACAATGAATTAATGTAACATCACATTTCAAATTCGCTGGACAATTTATGATTGTGCAAGATGCATGACCTGTGGATAATGTGTGAATTGAACACATTGAAAGATGAATTATCTGACCCATCTTCTCTTACTCTCGTCCCTGACCACCTTTGCAGATATGAACGGCGAAATGAATGTGAATGGCATCACTACTGTAATTGGGTCCAGTGTGCCTGGCTCCCACTCTCCAACAGCCCCATACCCTCATATGAGCAACCACCACCACCACCAGAGTAGCATGGGCTTCGACTACCTGTGGGGAGGACAGCCACAGTACAGCCCAGCCATGAGCTTGTCTCCTGGGCATGGCATGCACCAGAAGCAGCCTCCCACTGGGGTGATGCAGCAACAGAGCCAGCAGCATTTCCAGGGTCACGGACAGTACCAACTGAACGGGGGCATGCCTGGGTCCTGTCAGACCCCCGTGGTGGCCCCAACAAACATGACTCTTACAGGGGGCCAGTACTGGAACAGGGGTATCCCGGGGCAACAGCAGAGCAGCGCAGCCATGGTAATGGGATATAACTCACACAGCGTGTACGGGGCGTACCAGAGCCAGGTGCACCCTGGGATTGCGCCCTCACAGCATCACCAGCAACAGCCTCCACAGCCACCCCCTCACCAACAGACACAGCAACACCTCCACCCACACCAGCAGCAACAGCAACCTCAGCACTACAGCATGGTGTCCAACGGGATGCCCTACTACCAGCACCCACCTCTTCCCGCTCCACAACCCCAGTCTCAGGCTCAGATGATGCCCCCTACCTCCCAGAATTTCACCCCTCCACGGGACAGCCCCCAGCACCACCAGATGGGCCGGGGGGTAACAGGCAGCCCCCTCCCCATGGGGTTGTCCTCTGTCCCCATGATGTCACCCTCGACGATGGCGGATAGTGGATCGCTCCTGAGCCAGACCAGGGAGAGGAGTCCCCATGGTGGTTCTGTGGGGATGCCTGCTGTCATACAAGGTGAGATGCACATATATACACAGGTGGTAAGTCTTCTGAGTAATCTAACCCATTCTATTTTTATAGCACGGAAGAAGTATGTTTCCCTGTTTCATTTTAATATTTCTATGGTCGAAATGCCTGTTTCAAAGCAATTTTTCTTTCCAATGACTCAATTACTTTCAATTAGGCCTGATCTGTTAATTTACTAATCAGTGTCTCAGCTGTCAGGAATTGAATTCGCTAAGCAGATTTAATGTCAACACTGTAAACTGTTTCCATGACAGAACTGAAACAGTGTTTGCATATTATGTCATTTGAGCTTGATAAGGGACATTTTCTGACGAGAGGACATTTTTGGTGGAGAGGAATAAGGATGTGTCATTTGGATTCCTTCTAACACAGGTTACAGTATGGACAGGTCCCAAAAAGTTTAGGAAAGTCACCTCATCCACCACTAGTAGTGGTTCGAGATGTAGGCCTATCTATGGGTCATTCATTGTTCCTGTTTGACTGTGGTTAGCTCTCCATGTCAGAGAACCTTACTGGTTTCCTGGTTTGGGCCCTGGCCTGTATTTACCGAGATAAATCAGGTTGTAAATCTCACTTCACGTATTTCCTGATTCTCAACCACCCGGGTGTGGCTCACCTCTATTTAGTGTGCACCACAATACATAACGAAGAACTCCTGGCCTTTTGCAATGATACAGACAATATATTTATTGCCATCATACTGAAGTGTAATGCTGGCATGCAGCAGATTGTCGACAAGGTGTTTTATAAAATCTCCAGCTGCTTTGAATTGCCTTGCCGCTACTGTGTTTTGTTCCTGTCATCTCTAATGGTCTGACTGTTGTGTTTGTGTTCCCGTTCCCTAGGGCGGATGAGTGAAGCGTTTAAGGATGTGGATAAAGGCTACAACGGGATGGAGAGAGCATCTGTCTCCCAGCGACTGCCTAAAAGCGACAGCTACCCTCTCAAGCCCCCTGGACCTCCCATGGGGCCCACCAGTGACTACTGCCAGCGCTCCGAGCAGCCAATGGCCCAGCACCATGAAATGACAACCTTAGCGAGGGAGTCTGCGCTGCCTGAGCCTCCACACTCGATGTCGGCGCCTCCCCTTGTGGTTTCCACACTTCCTTCAGCTAAGGCAGCAACCCCTCCTAAGGTCTCCACAGCCGCAAACAAGCCTAAGATCACCATGCGCAATGCCAAGCGTCGGCTGGAGTGGTGTAAAGCTCACCGCCATTGGACTCTGGAGCAGTGGAAACGCGTTCTCTGGAGTGATGAATCACGCTTCACCATCTGGCAGTCCGATGGACGAATCTGGGTTTGGCGGATGCCAGGAGAACGCTACCTGCCTGAATGCATAGTGCCAACTGTAAAGTTTAGTGGAGGAGGAATAATGGTCTGGGGCTGTTTTTCATGGTTCGGGCTAGGCCCCTTAGTTCCAGTGAAGGGAAATCTTAACGCTACAGCATACAATGACATTCTAGACGATTCTGTGCTTCCAACTTTGTGGCAACAGTTTGGGGAAGGCCCTTTCCTGTTTCAGCATGACAATGCTCCCGTGCACAAAGTGAGGTCCATACAGAAATGGTTTGCCGAGCTTGGTGTGGAAGAACTTGACTGGCCTGCACAGAGCCCTGACCTCAACCCCATCGAACACCTTTGGGATGAATTGGAACGCCGACTGCGAGCCAGGCCTAATCGCCCAACATCAGTGCCCGACCTCACTAATGCTCTTGTGGCTGAATGGAAACAAGTCCCCACAGCAATGTTCCAACATCTAGTGGAAAGCCTTCCCAGAAGAGTGGAGGCTGTTATAGCAGCAAAGGGGGGACCAACTCCATATTAATGCCCATGATTTTGGAATGAGATGTTCGACAAGCAGGTGTCCACATACTTTTGGTCATGTAGTGTATGTATAGTGTTGTATGGAGCAGCAGACACCACTTCCATTTGCAGTGCTGCACTCTTGGCGAGTAAGCATTCATGACTTGATCTGAAGTACTGTATAGTAATCATCCTCAACCTAGAAAGGAATACATGTGAAGACATTTACAAGCAGTTGTCAAATGTTTTTTGTTGTTGTTTTTTTCACCTTTATTTAACCAGGTAAGCCAGTTGAGAACAAGTTCTCATTTACAACTGCGTATCTCATTTGCACCCCAGTATCTCTATTTGCACATCATCTTCTGCATATCTATCACTCCAGTGTTAATACTCAATTATAATTGTAATTATTTTGCACTATGGCCTATTTATAGCTTTACCTCCATAACTTACATTTGCACACACTGTATATAGATTTTCTATTGTGTTATTGACTGTATGTTTTGTTTATTCCATATGTAACTCTGTGTTGTTGTTTTTACCGCACTGCTTTGCTTTATCTTGGCCAGGTTGCCGTTGTACATGAGAACTTGTTCTCAACTGGCTTACCTGGTTAAATAAAAAATAAATAAATCTGTTTTACACATTTTCTGTTCGGTTCCCTCTTGTGAGCCTCCCCTGTGGCATATATATATATATAGTGATCAGAGAAACAGTTCAGTGTTTCAGTACCTTAGCCTTTAAGCCTACATGTTTCCCTTTCCTCCTCACCTGTTAAATCACAAACAGTCTATCAATGTTCATAAGATTTGAATGTTCTGGAATTCTTACAGGCTCCCAAATGTCTTCATGTTGCTCCCAAATATACATTTCTAATGGTACCTGTTTTTTTACTAATCCCAAATTGCTATTTACTGTCTAACAGCAGATCACATGATGGCAAAATTAAAGGATGCCTGAAGCTTGGTTTGGCCTCAAAACATTTGGTTGGTTTGTTTTTTTTACCCTCAAGAATCTTTTCATCTGTTTAGAGTTGTGGCAGAGTACATTACAATACTTCTGGGTCTTGTGTGGGGAGGGGGTTGATGGGGGATATGACATGTTGAACCTGTATAATAATGACCAAATTAAATTGTCAAGAAAATGTGAGGAGATAAATGTGTAGTTCTTAGTGTGTAAGTCAAACCTGTCAAGTAATCGCAGGCTGAAGCACTTCAACTGATGTTGAGTTACAGTGGAAAATGTTTGTTTTTGGTCTACATCTTATTAATAAACTAAGACTCATGTTTCCCATGGTGAAAGTGTTTGAAGACGGGCTATGCATGTGGCATGTCAAATACGTTTTCGAGAAGACACTGCTTTCAGTGGGTGCGACTTTTCTGAAATGTCAGATGGAAAAAGTGAGGACATGGCTAATGTACTACATTAAACACTGTTTACCAAAACAAATGACCAAGAATACTGGATAGAGCTGTGTTTCTCAACCTTCAGACACATCTGATCAGCTGCTCACTGATATAGGTAAATAAATATCGTATAAATAATTCTGCTCCATGTTTACTTTCATTTAAAGCGCTGCGGCCCAGCTCCAGAGGGGGTCGTACATACACCAGCGCTTGCTTGCGCGCTTGTTCCCCTTACACTTTTATTTATAGGCTACATAACCTGGTCTAATCAGTGTTTTGAGGATATATTGTAACGTTGGTTATCATCAAAATAATCTGTTCTTTCAGTATGAAAACGTTGGACATTTTCTTTGTTTTGAAATAATAGAGAGGAGCGTGACATCACTTCCCGAGATGCAGATGAACACCTGCTACCACAGGGGATAGGGAAGGCTGAAAGATGGCCACCGAGAAAACTATGTTTGTACAAAAACCCTTCAATGTCAGTATAGTTAGTATACAATCATTATATTCCTAATTGATTACACTAAAATTAGAACAGGGCCAAATAATAAATAGCTTACTGCGTTCAGTTCCAGTGTGAAAAGTGGTTTCTGTCACTATAATGGAATATTGTTCATGTAGTACATGGCACTACATAAAATTTGATTTGTCTGGGTATTTTTGTTATTGTTTATGAATTAAACGTCTCCCTCCCAACTCAGCTCTATCTCAGCATCACTTCCTGTAGCAGCATTCTGACCAGACACCATTTGCGCTCTTAATGATTCCACCGGACATCCCATTGGTTCCTAGAGCCGTCCTTTGTCTTCGGTATTGAATGAGAATAATTAAATAGTTGTGCGGTGAAATCTGTGGAAAACTATTAGGAACTGTGAGAAAATAGGGGGTAGCGCGTTGAAAGGGTTCAACAATAAAGGGGATAACCTGGGGCCCATTCTATGAAATGGCTTAATGAGGCAGCAATAGTTATCGATTCAAACATCCTATTCTTGGGAACAAAGTATTTTTCTCTTGAGTAAACAACAGTTTTTTAAATTATTATTATGCTTTTCCTGAATGTGCCCATTTTATTGTGAAATGGAGCTAGCAATCTGAAGACTAAATATATTCTGTAGTCTTGTGTAATTTATTTTCTCCTAAAGGGCAGTTTTTTTGCCGCTGGAGTGGGATAGTCCTTATAAAAGGTCAATGATATTTTGCACAATGATAAGGTGTGTAGAATGCCTGTTGAGTTCAAAAGTAGACCAGTGAACAATATGTAAAGTGAAATGAATAGAAACACCTGCAAACAGTTATGTTCGAATGAATTGTATTGCACTCAAAGAAATTCATTTAATCCTAGAAGGCAGGTAGTTCCATTCCTTTCATAGAATCTGTGTTCTTAATATGAGAATTTGCCTAATTTATTATGGGAGAGAGTATACCACAATATTACAATATCAAAACATAAATGTAATTCACTACACATTTTACCATGAAATGTTAGACTTTATAACAATGTAACAGGGAATTAATAGGTTATAATTGTGGCGCTGTATGAGTTTTTTCAAAGTAGCAGAGCAGCACACAAATTGATTGTACTGCACTGAATTTGCAGGCCCTCAACACAAGAACCATATAATGTGAGAGACCATATCCCTACTGTGTAGTGGGCTATCTTTACCCAAAAAGGCACAAACTAAAATCATGATGTATCTATTATAATCGAGACATTCTTCAAGTTTCAATTTTATTTGTCCCAGAGGGCAATTGGTTTTGCAGCAGGTGAGCACGAGACGTAAAAAACATAAAATCCAGATGGAGCTGAATGATGGTTAGTCTGATTAATCAGGCTGTAATACACAATTAATTGGTATATATAACCTGAAACTGATGACTGCAAAATCATGTAAATGTTCCTTACAAGCCAGAATGTTCATTAAAATTACATTTAAACTTACTCTAATGGTTGTCTGTGTGGTTTGATCTTCAGCTGCTTGAATATCCACAGGAAAGTATTGTAAGGTATATTTACATGATTTTGCAGAAATGTCCCCTATTCATCTGTGATTACACTCAAATTCATGCCTATTTTTAATTACATGGTATACCTGCATTTTTGTGTGTAGTCTACAATTACAGGTAGGCCCTACATCCAATTATTTATATATCCACTAGTTAACTAATAGGGGCGCTGTGTTGAAGCCACAGTCCTCCATCTTGGCACTCCCCCACGGTCGTACATTTTTTATTTTGGAAGCTATAGAAAGGCATTTATTATTGTCTACATTCGTTTTTGCCACGTTTATTCTATTACAGACCCCTTAATGCATAATAAAACAATTATATTATGTGAGCTAAACATAAAATAATGAACAAAACAAAACATTTTCCTTTAAGTATATATTTTTGGATTATTCATGTTACTGTCCCCACTACAATAACAAAAATACTTAAATACATGTAATTTTGTCCTGTAGAATTCCATTCATTCCTATGGAAGACTGCTCCTACTGGAGAGTGCCAATACGGCCAACCGGTTGCTTCAAAGTATTTTAATGGCCAATACATTGGATCAGTAATCCAGGGTTTGTATATATACATCATTGCCTACATCAGATGACAATTCTCCTAAAATGATGCTATTCCGGTGCTAGGACCCAGCGCTCCCATTGTGTAAACTCCAGAGACAGAAGAGGAAGCGAGACACCCCACTCGCTGATATTTTGTAGTTAAATGAAAGTCAAAGAACTAAGTAGACCAGACCCAGCTGCTATTGCATTGGTGTCTATGGGAGACACACCCCGTTAAGTAGACCAGAATTTACCATATTTTTAAATTGTAAACGGCCTGAGTGAACTATCTTTATTTATCCGCCATCTCGCAATGATTCACTTCCTCTTTCGGCTCGATTTCTTTCTCTTCTGTGATCATGGCTGTACTCAAACACCAGCCATGTTTGCTAATTTGAAACCCAAAGGTTAGCGAATATTGTACCTGTTTATTATTTACATAGTCTGTACCTACTTCAACCATATTTGTTCAATCGGAGGATCAAAGGCATCAGTGCCTTTGAAATCCAAGGATTACAAGGTTAGTCAGTTTGAATGACATTTTATGTCAAACTTTTGAGTGTGTGTGAGGATGATGCTGTCTCACAATATCTCAGGCGAATACAGCGAAAACAATGTGCGTTTATTAGCTTGCTAGCTAACTAACAAAAGAGAAGCATCCAAAATGTTCAGGAACATAAACGATTCTCCAAGACGACTGATGTTATTACTCTCCACATGTTTTATTAGCTAGCTATCATCGCAAATGTTGAAAGAGCACAGAACCACTGTGACTGTATTATTAACTAGTTTTACACAGCGTTGTAGCTAACGTCTGTTTTTGATTACTAGTATTGTCAATAACCTTGAATTTAGCATGATCTAATAAGGGCCTAGAGGTGTCGAATGATATGTTGAAAAGATCAGGAAATTCTATAATTTTAACCCGTTTGTGTAAAATATAGTTACATCTCACCCAACGAACTCCTTGGTGGATTGTTTTTGTTGCAGAGCGTAACGTTAGAAAGATATCAAATCAGATGCTAACCTAGCGCCGTATTGCTAACTAGATAACGTTAGATAGCTAACAGTCCATAGTAGGCCTAAGGTTAGTTGGAAATGACGTTAACCATCTGGTGGCGAGTTTTGAATGAAAGCTAATTTAGCTAGCTAGTCAAGATATGGACAATAACAAAAGTTAACATGTTTATGCAACTGCTGGTGCCACTTCTTCAATTCTACAGTACAAGCCCTAACGTTAAGGCCTTTTTGTTTTTGTTGTTGACAGTTTTGATAAACAACTAGATAGCGGGATGGTTTAGCTAGCTAGCAAACAATCAACTTCAACTGGACAAGTTAAATAGCGAGCTAATGTAACCATGACACGTTATCATTAAAGACTGATATAGCTAGTTTGCTGGCTAGTTGAGCCGTGGATGAGAGATTCAGGTCTAATGCCGAGGGGTGCTATCATCCACAGCGCATGGTCACGTGTAGCAGACAGCCTAGCTAGTAAGCAATGACAACCAAATCTAATTTTCTATCGTTAGAAAGTAGCTAATAAATGAATAACTACGGAAGTTGTCTGTTTTCTAATTGCAATTACCATATATTTGTGATATGGCTAAGATTTGCGCCGATCTAGCTAACTAGTATAGCTTAATGAAACCAATGTTTTCAACTAGCTAGTGTTAGCTCTTCATGCTAATATTATGTGTTTATCGTGGGATGGATGTTGAAAAACGCAGTTAAACATTGGTAACCTAGCGCCGTACAATATGTATATGTAGCTACTTGTTGAAAACCACGATATACCTTTTTTCAACTTATAGCTAGATTTCTTGAAAACATGTATCTCAGACCAAAATATTGTCGTTTTCCCGTTGTCAAAACGGGTTCGCTGTGATTTAACATGGATCTACCCGTGGCGTTCATTGTCCATGAGTGTGCTGGCCAGAGCATCCCATCTGCTGCTCTAACTGCGACATTTTGAGGGAGTTGTGGGAGTGCAATGTTTAATGTCGTCCTCAACGTGTCATCATCATTTATAGCCATCTTCAGGCTTGCCAACTCCTGCAGTTGTAACAATACATGTTAGTGTATGGATCTAGCTAGCTGCTATATTATTTCTTTAAAAAATCACATACTATTTATTTAATGTGCAGGATAAAATATTTTCCCTGGTTTATTTATAGTTTCATGACTTGTGGTCTTTGCTACCTGCTTTTCAGATGGAGGCAAACAACCATTTCAACTATGGCACCCACTCCTCTGTGTCTTCTAACTCAGGACTGAAACTCTCCACTGGGGATTCTGTCTATACTAACGGGTCCTCCATGAGTTTCCCTCAGCAGAAGAGTGAGTACAGCCCCCATTTCATGTGGTTACTTTGCCTCACTATTTCTATACTGAACAAAAATATGAACACAATATGTAAAGTGTTGGTCCCATGTATCATGAGCTGAAATAAAAGATCCCAGACGTTTTCCATACGCACTAAAATCGTATTTCTCTCAAATGTTGTGCACAAATGTGTTTACATCCCTGTTAGTAAGCATTTCTCATTTGCCAAGATAATCCATCCACCTGCCAGGTGTGGCATATCAAGAATCTGGTTAAACAGCATGATCATTACACAGGTGCACCTTGTGCTGGGGACAATAAAAGGCTACTCTAAAATATGCTATTTTGTAACAAAACAATGCGACAGATGTCTCAAGTTTTGAGGGAGCGAGCAATTGGCATGCTGACTGCAGGAATGTCCACCAGAGCTGTTGCAAGATAATTTTATGTTAATTTCTCTACCATAAGCCTCCTCCAACGTCATTTTAGAGAATTTGGCAGTATGTCCAACTGGCCTCACAACCGCAGACCATGTGTAACCATGCCAGCCCAGGACCTCCACATCCGGCTTCTTCGCCTGCGGGATCGTCTGAGACCAGCCCACTGGACAGCTGATGAAACTGAGGCGTATTTCCGTCTGTAATAAAGCCATTTTGTGGGGGAAAACTCATACTGATTGGCTGTGCCTGATTCGCCAGTGGGTGGGCCCAGGCCCACCCATGGCTGCGCCCCTGCCCAGTCATGTAAAGTCCATAGATTAGGGCCTAATGAATTTATGTCAAATTGACTGATTTCCTTATATGAACTGTAACTCAGTAAAATTGTTGCATGTTGTGTCTATATTTTTGTTCGGTATATATCAGTAACTGATTTAAATTAATCTCTCTGCCCCAGTCTCTTGACCCCTTTATAATGAGCAATAGATTGTATCTAACTCTAGAGCAGGTGTTCGGTGCATAAGCAATATCATGTTGAATATCACAATGAATTAATGTAACCTCACACCGCAAATTTGCTGGACAATTTATGATTGTGCAGGATGCATGACCTGTGGAAAAATTAATTATCTGACCCATCTTCTCTTACTCTTATCCCTGACCACCTTTGCAGATATGAACGGCGAAATGAATGTGAATGGCATCACTACTGTAATTGGGTCCAGTGTGCCTGGCTCCCACTCTCCAACAGCCCCATACCCTCATATGAGCAACCACCACCACCACCAGAGTAGCATGGGCTTCGACTACCTGTGGGGAGGACAGCCACAGTACAGCCCAGCCATGAGCTTGTCTCCTGGGCATGGCATGCACCAGAAGCAGCCTCCCACTGGGGTGATGCAGCAACAGAGCCAGCAGCATTTCCAGGGTCACGGACAGTACCAACTGAACGGGGGCATGCCTGGGTCCCGTCAGCCCCCCGTAGTGGCCACGCCAAACATGACTCTTACAGGGGGCCAGTACTGGAACAGGGGTAACCCGGGGCAACAGCAGAGCAGTGCAGCCATGGTAATGGGATATAACTCACACAGCGTGTACGGGGCGTACCAGAGCCAGGTGCACCCTGGGATTGCGCCCTCACAGCATCACCAGCAACAGCCTCCACAGCCACCCCCTCACCAACAGACACAGCAACACCTCCACCCACACCAGCAGCAACAGCAACCTCAGCACTACAGCATGTCCAACGGGATGCCCTACTACCAGCCCCAGCACCCACCTCTTCCCGCTCCACAACCCCAGTCTCAGGCTCAGATGATGCCCCCTACCTCCCAGAATTTCACCCCTCCACGGGACAGCCCCCAGCACCACCAGATGGGCCGGGGGGTAACAGGCAGCCCCCTCCCCATGGGGTTGTCCTCTGTCCCCATGATGTCACCCTCGACGAAGGCGGATAGTGGATCGCCCCTGAGCCAGACCAGGGAGAGGAGTCCCCATGGTGGTTCTGTGGGGATGCCTGCTGTCATACAAGGTGAGATGCACATATATACACAGGTGACAAGTCTTCTGAGTAACCTAACCCCTTCTATTTTTATAGCACGGAAAAAGTATGTTTCCCTGTTTCATTTTCATATTTCTATGGTCGCTAGATACAGTATGTGTGGAAACAGCACCATGTATCACAAGAGTTCGAAATGCCTGTTTCAAGCAAAAAAAATGACTTTCAATTAGGCCTGATCTGTTAATTTACTAATCAGTGTCTGTTGTCAGTAATTGAATTCGCTAAACAGATTTAAGGTCAACACTGTAAACTGTTTCCATGACAACTGAAATAGTGTTTGCATATTGTCATTTGAGCTTGATAAGGGACATTTTCTGATGAGAGGACATTTTTGGTGGAGAGGAATAAGGATGTGTCATTTGGATTCCTTCTAACACAGGTTACAGTATGGACAGGTCCCAAAAAGTTTAGGAAAGTCACCTCATCCACCACTAGTAGTGGTTCGAGATGTAGGCCTATCTATGGGTCATTCATTGTTCCTGTTTGACTGTGGTTAGCTCTCCATGTCAGAGAACCTTACTGGTTTCCTGGTTTAGGCCCTGGCCTGTATTTACAGAGATAAATCAGGTTGTAAATCTCACTTCACATATTTCCTGATTCTCAACCATCCGTAGTCAGGTGTGGCACATCTCAATTTAGTGTGCACCACAATACATAGCGAAGAACTCCTGGCCCCTTGCAATGATACAGACACTATATATTTATTGCCATCTTACTGAAGTGGAACGCTAGCATGCAGCAGATTGTCGACAAGGTGTTTTATAAAAGCTCCATCTGCTTTGAATTGCCTTGCCGCTACTGTGTTTTGTTCCTGTCATCTCTAATGGTCTGACTGTTGTGTTTGTGTTCCCGTTCCCTAGGGCGGATGAGTGAAGCGTTTAAGGATGTGGATAAAGGCTACAACGGGATGGAGAGAGCATCTGTCTCCCAGCGACTGCCTAAAAGCGACAGCTACCCTCTCAAGCCCCCTGGACCTCCCATGGGGCCCACCAGTGACTACTGCTTGCGTTCCGAGCAGCCAATGGCCCAGAACCATGAAATGACAACCTTAGCAAGGGAGTCTGCACCTCCTGCAGTGTCTACGTCTCCTATGGGTGCATCAGGGCCTCATGTTGTTTCATCCTCCTCCGTTACTTCTACGCCTCCCCAAAACTCAGCGCCTCCCATGTCCTCTGCTCCTTTTCCCCCTGTGCTTGGGCCTCCTCCCAGGCTGTCGTCGCCTCCTCTGATGGTACAAGGCCTAAGACCTTCTCCAGTGTCTGTGTCCACACTTCCATCAGTGGTATCGCCTCCCTCCTCACTGTCTGCACCTCGTCCTAAGCCACCTGCACCTCCTCCTTTACTGGACAAATCCTCTAGACCTCCAGCTGTGTCTGCTCCCCATCCAGTTAGTGCTCCTCCCCTTGTGTCTGTGGCACATCAGACTGCTCACACTACATCTGCACCTCCTGCAATGGTCTCTACTTCTACCATGGTGTCTGCTCCCCTGCACTCCATGTCTGCGCCTATCTCTGCGCTTCAACAGATGGTCCAAGGATCCAGACCACCTCCTCTGACTTCTTCTCCCCCAGCTTTATCTGGAGCACCTCAAGAAAAGTTTTGGACTCCATCAATGTCTGCATCTGCGCCTTCCTCAGCGGTGTCTACTCCCTCGGTGGCAGTCACGGCACCTCCCTCAGCAGTGTCCAGGCCTCATTCGGCAGTCAGTGCACTTTCTATATCAGTGTCCTCATTTTCTCGATCAGTGTCTACTCCTCCCCCAGCAGTGTCCTCCTTTCCAAAGGAGGTGTCTATGCCTCCTCTAACAGTCCAAGGCCCTAGAGCTCTACCTTTGTCTGGACCTCCTCCTCTCACATTCCAAACCTCCAGAGCTCCTCCATTGTCTGAGCCACCTGCCTTGATGTATGTGCCTCCTGTGGTCCCCTCTGCGCCTCCCCCATCCATTCCTGCTCCTCCACAAGCCCCTAAACGGATGGTTTCTCCAGAGCCAGAGGAGCGAGGCATGGGGAATATGAAGTACATGGGGAACATGAAGGACCCCTCTGTAGAAGCGGACACAGTCAAAACATCATCAAAGATTGATTCCGCAGGGTCTCCGACTCATCAATCTGAAAAACACTCACACAAACCCCTCACTGTTATTCTTGGGACGACACCGCACCCCAAGAACCAAGAGGACTCCTCTGGGGACAAAGTTTCTGCTGAGAAAAAGGACTCCACGCCCATGAGAGGTGCAGACACTCCCCTGGAGAAGAGAATGGATGACACCTGTGAGACGGACGAGTCAACAGTTGAGGAGTCTTTGGACGAGTCCTTGCAGGCGGAGTCCACACGCCTCGACAGCACCAGGATGGAAGACACCAGCCTCACTGAGGAGGATGACATCTGTAACAAGTCGTCACTTGACGACGCCTCTCGGTTTGACGACACTTCTAGACTTGACGATACCTCTTGCACGGATGACGACACTTCCCGCTTTGATGTCAGCTCTCGATTGGACGACAACTCTCGCGTAGATGGTAACAAATCTCTATTTGACGATACCTCTCGCATGGATGATAGCGCTCGCATGGATGACACCTCTCTTGCGGATGAAACATCACATGTTGGCGACACTACAATGGATAGCAACTTCTCCTCTGTGGAGGACTCTAGGGACTTGACTCTGGATGATACCCAGACAGAGAACTCTTCCTGGGCAGAGAATACCATGGACAGCTGCCTGAGCACCAGGGAATCCATGCTGGAGTCCTCTCAGATGGAGGACTCCTGTGTTGACTCATCCCAGAATGACATCTCCCGGTCAAGCTCAAATGGCCCTGCCAAACCAACCCCAGCCTACAAAGGTAAGATCCTTGCCATAGTTGATGTATGACAACCTATGTTTTTGTAATTAATTCACTTTTTATGAGTCAGAATATCCTGTTAAGTAAGATGTGTGGCAATGTAGAACTTTGCAAGAAAGAGTTGTGGGTTAGGTCTTGGAAATATATATATATATATATATATATATATATCACAGCCAACTATGGAAATACTTATTTTGTCAACAAACAGTAACTCAGTTAATTTGATGTTGCTAACCATTGACCATTAACCTCATGCCCTCTTGACAGGGTCTGAAGGTGACAGTGAGGCGGAGGGCTGGGATATACCAGACTACACTGGCACCACCAGCATCAAGGCCAGTGCCGCTACCATCATGGCTCCACCTGTTATCATGGACAAAGGCAAGCACACAGCGGCGCTCAGTGCCCTGGTGGAAAGCCTGGTTGGAGCCCCGCTCCTGCCCGTAGCTGCCCCAGCCGTGCCCACCACCGGCCAAAAGACCAAAACACCAAGGAAACCCAGGAAGCCACGCACTCCAGCAGCCTCCATTCCCGGTAAACTGACTTCTCTTTATCCCTTTTTTGTCTTAAGAATATGTCTGTGTAACTGTAATTAATTTTGAAAAAGGTAGTGTACAAACAAGGTTTTCTGACATTCTATTGTCACTCTCCAGTTCCCCAGGCCCCTGGGAAAGCCCAACGGAAGTCTGCTGTTAAAACTCTGAAGGTGGAGAAGATAAAGGTGGAGAGGAAGAAGAAACTTGAGAAAGGAGAGGTAGGAGAGAAAAAGGAAAAGGGACCACCTAGAACGAGAAAGAAGAAGACCCAACCAGTAGCAGTCACAGGAGAGGCTGAACGTTCTGCTGAAGGCCTACTTCCTGGTCAAAGTGGACCAGTCACTACCATTGGTAAACCATGTCTAACCAGTGGCGAGACCCCCCCCATGGTCAAACCGAAGAAAGTTAGAGTCAAGAAAGTAAGTGTTCTGGAGCCGAAGCCACCCAAAATAGCGAAAATGGACATTGACACTAAACCCAATGATCATGACAATAACGTCAACGACGGAGACGACAGTTCCACTGCGGGTAATGGATGAGAAAACTACTTTTATACTGGAAATTGTAGAAATTATTGAAAAATGGTTACATATTTTCTCCTAGATGTAGTTATGACCCAATGATTATAAACTCTAAACCAGGGTTCTTCAATTCCGGTCCTGGAGGGCCGAAACACCTCTGTTTTTCATCCTCTCCTTCTAATCAGGGGCTATTTCAGACCTGGGACACCAGGTGAGTGCAATTAACTACCAGGTAGAAATAAAAAACAGAAGTGTTTCGGCCCTCCAGGACCGGAATTGAAGAACCCTGCTCTAAACCAATGGCATTGTTAATGGATGACAGTCATTTGGTACCAATCTGATTCTACTCTCTTTGTTCCTTGTACAGGTGACACTGCTAGGAGGAGGATAGCAACAGAGGAGCAGGTCCACTTCCCTTTGCTACACGGGTAATGATACATACACTCTGATTTATACAGTTTATGGAACGTGAAGTCCCCCTTAATTAGGCTTTCTCTGTGCCAAATTATTATTGTGTGTGGAAAGTGCAAAAGGTTAATGTTCACCCATAAATACAAAACCCCTCAGTTTCATCCTTCTATCCTAGGGATACTATGTGTTGAACGTGGTTCTTAACTGACTTTCTATTGATCTGTGCTTTAGCTGGAGGAGGGAGATCCGGGTCAAGAAGAATGAGGACCGACTCAAGGGGGAGACCTGGTACTACAGCCCCTGTGGTAGGAGGATGAAGCAGTTTCCTGAAGTCATCAAGGTAAATGGCCCTGAGTTACAGTAAAACATCACCACAGGAGCTGTTTTGGCACAACATAGTCTTACTGTACATTTTTAGTGTGAGACATGAGAGAAGGTCAGCAGCTATAAATAGCCCTTGATACAGTGGGATAGCTTTCCCTCAGGGAGTTTACCACATCAGACAGACACTTATTTTGGGTGAGAGACCGTGACCAGCTAAATTAACAGAGGCCATGGAGAGGCCATGTTTTTAGCATACAGGCATAACTGTAGCTGCATTTGATCCCATTTAATTAACCCATCATGAGTTACATGGATGACATACAGTGGGGGAAAAAAGTATTTAGTCAGCCACCAATTGTGCAAGTTCTCCCACTTAAAAATATGAGAGAGGCCTGTAATTTTCATCATAGGTACACGTCAACTATGACAGACAAAATGAGAAAGAAAATTCCAGAAAATCACATTGTAGGATTTTTAATGAATTTATTTGCAAATTATGGTGGAAAATAAGTATTTGGTCAATAACAAAAGTTTCTCAATACTTTGTTATATACCCTTTGTTGGCAATGACACAGGTCAAACGTTTTCTGTAAGTCTTCACAAGGTTTTCACACACTGTTGCTGGTATTTTGGCCCATTCCTCCATGCAGATCTCCTCTAGAGCAGTGATGTTTTGGGGCTGTCGCTGGGCAACACAGACTTTCAACTCCCTCCAAAGATTTTCTATGGGGTTGAGATCTGGAGACTGGCTAGGCCACTCCAGGACCTTGAAATGCTTCTTACGAAGCCACTCCTTCGTTGCCCGGGCGGTGTGTTTGGGATCATTGTCATGCTGAAAGACCCAGCCACGTTTCATCTTCAATGCCCTTGCTGATGGAAGGAGGTTTTCACTCAAAATCTCACGATACATGGCCCCATTCATTCTTTCCTTTACACGGATCAGTCGTCTTGGTCCCTTTGAAGAAAAACAGCACCAAAGCATGATGTTTCCACCCCCATGCTTCACAGTAGGTATGGTGTTCTTTGGATGCAACTCAGCATTCTTTGTACTCCAAACACGACGAGTTTAGTTTTTACCAAAAAGTTCTATTTTGGTTTCATCTGACCATATGACATTCTCCCAATCCTCTTCTGGATCATCCAAATGCACTCTAGCAAACTTCAGACGGGCCTGGACATGTACTGGCTTAAGCAGGGGGACACTTCTGGCACTGCAGGATTTGAGTCCCTGGTGGCGTAGTGTGTTACTGATGGTAGGCTTTGTTACTTTGGTCCCAGCTCTCTGCAGGTCATTCACTAGGTCCCCCCGTGTGGTTCTGGGATTTTTGCTCACCGTTATTGTGATCATTTTGACCCCACGGGGTGAGATCTTGGGAGGGAGATTATCAGTGGTCTTGTATGTCTTCCATTTCCTAATAATTGCTCCCACAGTTGATTTCTTCAAACCAAGCTGCTTACCTATTGCAGATTCAGTCTTCCCAGCCTGGTGCAGGTCTACAATTTTGTTTCTGGTGTCCTTTGACAGCTCTTTGGTCTTGGCCATAGTGGAGTTTGGAGTGTGACTGTTTTGAGGTTGTGGACAGGTGTCTTTTATACTGATAACAAGTTCAAACAGGTGCCATTAATAGAGGTAACGAGTGGAGGACAGAGGAGCCTCTTAAAGAAGAAGTTACAGGTCTGTGAGAGCCAGAAATCTTGCTTGTTTGTAGGTGACCAAATACTTATTTTCCACCATAATTTGCAAATAAATTCATTAAAAATCCTACAATGTGATTTTCTGGATTTTTTCCCCTCATTTTGTCTGTCATAGTTGACGTGTACCTATGATGAAAATTACAGGCCTCTCATCTTTTTATGTGGGAGAACATGCACAATTGGTGGCTGACTAAATACTTTTTTCCCCCACTGTATAACTCAGTGACCTATGACCTGCATTTTCCCATGTTCCCCTGCTCTGATGCCACTGACCCATAATCCTGTTCTCCCTCAGTATCTGAACAGGCACCAGGACACTGCTGTGACCAGGGAACACTTCAGCTTCAGCCCCCGCATGCCCGTAGGAGACTTCTATGAGGAGAGGGACTCCGCTGAGGTGTGTGTGTGTGTGGATTTATTGTATGTGCTGACAGATCTTTCATCATAAATACCTACAGTAATAACTCAATGCAGACTGTCATAGTGTAATATCATAAAGAAGACACATTTCCCATAAATGCTTTCATATGATCTCTTCCAGGGAGTGAAATGGTGCCTCCTGGCCAATGAGGAGGTGCCCTCCATGATCATGGCCATCACGGGCCGACGTGGACGACCTCCGAACCCTGACAAAGAGATGCCCCGGCCCCGAGCTCGTCATACCAAGGGCGGGCCAGTCCGAAAGCCCGGGAGGCCGCCCAAACCCAAGATGGTGGACCTGCTGAGCAAGGTGGACGCCAGAATGCTGAAGAGGCTAGAGGCCAAGGGTGAGTGGAGGACATAGCCTGGCGAAATGAGTCTGATGTGTTCACTGGTTGGAAAGTAGGCCCGTATACAGACTGATTCAATGGCACAACAGAATCAGTAACGTAATATTGTAGAATTTGTGTGCATCAAAAAGCTTCAATTAGGCTGGGGCTTTTGAAGTCTCCAATGTAAATGTGTTTATCTATTTTTAGAAGGTCTGACTGAGGAGGACAAGGAGAAACTTGTCAAAATCAAGAAGAAAATGAAGAGAAAGGTACGGTATACTAAGCATCAAAATCTGAAGACGTGTTGTAACATTGCATCTTGGTGGTGTATCCAGGTTGCCTCCAACACACTTAAGTCAAATGGTTCCATTTCTCTCTTCTAGGCAAGGATGAAAAGAAAGGAGGATAACAAGAATAAGAAGATCCGACAGGAGAAAAAGCAAGCGAAGGTAAGGAAGTATTTTATTTTTTTATTGACCAAAACACTAATCGTCCGCCCTCTTTATCTAATAAACCCCTCTTACCCTCTGTGTTCAGCTTGATGAGACCAAGGAGGTGAAGGCTGAACCAGCTGGCCAGGAGGCCCCACAGCCGGTCCCACTACAGCCGCCAGCCCCAGAGCCCAAGAAGCGCGGCCCTAGGAAGAAGAAGGATGAGGTGCCTCCACCGGTCGTGGAGACTGACCAGGAAAGGTTGGCCAAGGGGAAAAGGGTGCTGGGGGCCAGGAGTAAGGCCAAGGCCCTGGCTAAGGCCCAGGCAGAGGCGGAGGCTGCAGCCCAGGCAGCCCTGGCAGCTAAGAAGCAGGTGGAGAGGAGGGCCCAGGCCCAGAGAAGGCTGGAGGAGAGGAGGAGACAGCAGATGATCCTGGAGGAGCTGAAGAAGCCCACTGAGGACATGTGTCTCACAGACCACCAGCCCCTCCCGGAGCTGTCTCGGATCCCTGGCTTGGTTCTCTCTGGCGTGGCCTTCTCCCACTGCCTAGCTGTGGTGGAGTTCCTGTACAGCTATGGCAAGGTGCTGGGCCTCCACATCCCCAGGGATGTGCCTAGCCTCAGCACCTTGCAGGAGGGCCTCCTGGGCCTGGGAGACAGTCAAAGCGAGGTCCAGGATCTGCTCATAAAGCTGGTTGAGGCCGCACTACACGACCCAGGCCTGCCACCCTACTACCAGGTGTGTATTGTTGACTGTATGGAGCTAGTATTGGAGATGGGTGTTCATGAATATTTGTTTGCCAAAGTGCTGTCTCCATGTAGACATTTTACTGTTGGCTATAGTTTGCCATTTAAAAAATTTATTTAGCTGTATATTGCATGTAAACTCTAGTTCAACAGATTTAGCTAGTTCAATTTCTTAAATCCCCCTCTCATTCTCTCTCCTTCCAGTCAGTGAAGATCCTAGGGGAGAAGCTGGTGGATCTGGAGCTGACTCGCAACACAGTGTCCGAGGGCCTGAGGATCTTCCTGGAGTCCCATGGCTTTGACATGGAGGTGTGCAACGTGCTGCGGACCAAGACCTTCCTCACCCTCAACCCCGACACCAAGGCTGCCATCCTGGGCTTCCTGGTGGAGGAGCTCAACGGCAGCAACATCGTCATAAGGTCAGGATGACAAAACACCGAGAGATACTAAGGAGTTACTAACAACCATATCCTAAGTGTGATGCAAATATATTTTACAACAAAAATGTGTCACAAAAAAAAACCCTTCTGGAAAGGATATCGCACATTAAAGTAAACCCTGTTTGTATGTTTTTGCATTGCAGTGAGATTGACAACACACTGGAAAACAGGGCTACTTACAGGAAAAACAAGTGGATCATCGAGGGGAAATTGCGCAAGTAAGACAAGTCACAGCTCCTTGGATTTAGATTTTGTTTTAGTTTGTGGAAGGAGAGTGTGTGATACCACTGAGGCTTTGTGTGTTTGATAACTGGTGTGTGTGCTCTGATGTGTGTGTTCTCCCAGACTGAAGGCAGCTCTAGCACGGCGTACGGGGCGGTCTGAGGAGGAGCTGTATCTAGAGGAGAGGAGGCGCAGTGCCAGGGTGGCAGAGGAGGAGAACCACAGTCTGGAAGAGAGCGGCCCCATGGAGAGGGGCAGCCGCCGCCGCACACCCAAGGAGGAGCCCAAACTCAGTGAAGTGCGTGTGTGTCAATCTCAAATGTGTTGGTGAGGATATCTGTATTATACTCACCAAATGTCCTTTCCACAGACTGACAGCACCACCAACGCCAGCATTCCAGAGTTGGAGAGGCAGATCGATAAGCTAACCAAGGTAAGGCTAACATACTCTGCTGTTCATTTTCAATTTTCTTCTTCTGTAGTGTCTATTCTATCTATCAGTGTAACTACGTTGTGTGCGCAGTTCTGGGTTTTGTATGAGCAAAATGTCACCCTAAGTACACTACATGACCAAAAGTATGTGGACACCTGCTTGTCGAATATCTCATTCCATAAATCATGAGCGTTAATATGGAGTTGGTCCCTCCTTTGCTGCTATAACAGCCTCCACTCTTCTGGAAAGGCTTTCCACTAGATGTTGGAACATTGCTGCGGGGACTTGCTTCCGTTCAGCCACAAGCGTTAGTGAGGACGGGCACTGATGTTGGGCGACTAGGCCTGGCTCGCAGTCAGCGTTCCAATTCATCCCAAAGGTGTTGGATGAGGTTGAGGTCAGGGCTCTGTGCAGGCCAGTCAAGTTCTTCCACACCGATCTCGACAAACCATTTCTGTATGGACCTCGCTTTGTGCACGGGGGCATTGTCATGCTGAAACAGGAAAGGGCCTTCCCCAAACTGTTGTCACAAAGTTGGAAGCACAGAATCGTCTAGAATGTCATTGTATGCTGAAGCGTTAAGATTTCCCTTGACTGGAACTAAGGGGCCTAGCACGAACCATGAAAAACAGCCCCAGACCATTATTCCTCCTCCACCAAACTTTACAGTTAGCACTATGCATTCAGGCAGGTAGCGTTCTCCTGGCATCCGCCAAACCCAGATTAGTCCGTCGGACTGCCAGATGGTGAAGCGTGATTCATCACTCCAGCTGATGCTTGGCATTGCGCATGGTGATCTTAGGCTTGTGTGTGGCTGCTCAGCCATGGAAACCCATTTCATGAAGGTCCCAATTAACAGTTATTGTGCTGAAGTTTGCAACTCTGTAGTGAGTGTTGCAACTGACGACAGACGATTTTTGCGTGCTACGTGCTTCAGCACTCGGCAGTCCCGTTCTGTGATCTTGTGTGGCCTACCATTTCGCTGCGGAGCCGTTGTTGCTCCTAGATGTTTCCACTTCACAATAACAGCACTTACAGTTGACCGGGGCAGCTCTAGCAGGGCAGAAATGTGAAGAACTGACTTGTTGGAAAGGTGGCGTCCTATGACGGTGCCACATTGAAAGTCACTGAGCTCTTCAGAAAGGCAATTCTACTGCCAATGTTTGTCTATGGAGATTGCATGGCTGTGTGCTTGATTGTATACACCTGTCAGCAACGAGTGTGGCTGAAATAGTCAAATACACTAATTTGAAGGGGTGTCCCCATATACCTGTATATGTATAGTGTATTATTCTCCTCCACAGCGACAGGTGTTTTTCCGTAAGAAGCTGCTCCAGTCCTCCCACTCCCTGCGGGCGGTGTCTCTGGGCCAGGACCGGTTCCGCCGGAGATACTGGCTCCTGCCCCACCTGGGAGGGGTGCTGGTGGAGGGGCCTGAAGAGATCCTAGGTGAGTCACAGAGCAACTGCCCTCAACCCAACAAGAATATATATTTTTATTGACTCTAAACATATCCCTCCTCTCTGTCTGTTAGCATCAGAAGATATCCTGGTGAAGGAGGTGCCCATCACTCTTCTGAAGAGGGAACCCAAAGTGGAGGAGACGCCCACTACCACCCCTGCCCCCCTTCCCTCTCCCCCTCCCCAGTCCCAGACCTCCTCCCCCACTAAAGAGGACCCTCTCCCCGGCACCGCCTCTCTTATGAGCAGCCCCAGGGCCCGGGGTCGCCCCCGCAAGATCAAACCAGAGGTGGAGCTACACCTCCGCACCGCCAAGTGTCGCCGCCGTCGCCGTAGCAGCAAGTCCGGCGGGGAGGAGTCGGGGCCAGGCATTTCCCCGGAGACCACCACCAATGGAACACAAGACCTCACTCTGTCCGCTTACAATAACTGCCTCAGCCAATCGCAGGGCGCCTTAACCAATGGGACGGTGAAAGCAACAGGGATGGCACCTAATGGCAGCCTACCAGAGGACAGCGTGAAAGAAATGGCGGAGAAACAGGGGCAGTGGTTCAACCTGCTGCCCAAACAGCCTTGTGACAAAACCTCTCTGACAGAACCTCAGACCCCCCCCAGCAAGCCGCCCAAACGCCTCCCTCTGACCCCAAGCACCCTGCCCGCCCTCGCTGCTCCACTGCTGCAGGTGAGTCCCCCCCATAGTCCCCCTCAGCCCCCTGCACACTCTCCAGGACCCTCATGAGCGAGAACACTCAACATAAGTTACTACTGTTGAACATTGTTTTCTTCATCAAATAAGATTTTATTATCTCTTATTAAACCATCTTTCTCCCTCTCTCTCCAGTCTGTACCAGCCCCCTTGGATCCCACACCCCAGGTGACCACCACCCCCATCCCAGCCAAACCGGGGCGCAGGCGGAGGAGGGGCAGCAGTCCCGCCCGCAGGGTTGGAGCTAGAGGGGCTGCAGCTAAGCGTCGTGGCCGCCCTTCTTCCACACTCTTCCAGGAGATAGAGCAACAGTACTTCACTCAGCTCGTGGTCAAGCCCATTCCAGCATGTAAGCCTTCAATCCATTCAGTTCAATCCCATTCCAGCAAGCTGTCCCCTTTTTTTAAAACGCATGCAATTGAAAACCACTAAGGTTTATTGAATATCATCACTGTAGTGTCTGACGATGACACTTGTCAGCAATGTAAACATGATGCAATTTGAGCTGCGGATTTGGCTTACTTGATTATTTATGTATGGTTAGCCGAAGTAGCAAACATCTTAAACAATAACTGATCAAATGTTTGACATACTTGTGTGTGGTTAGCCGGTTATGGCTAGCATGGTTTGCTAACATGCTATGCTATAGGTGTGATGCTGGTGTCTAATGTGTGTGCTGCTGTTGTGCTGTTAGCAATGGTGCGTGGCTGGTGGTGGATAAAAGAGCCTGAGGACATGACGGCCACCCTGCAGGCCCTGCACCCACGAGGCATCCGGGAGAAGGTGCTCCACAAACACCTGGCCAAACACATGGAGTATCTGGCTGAGGTCTGCACACGGCCCATCAACGGTGAGTCAATGAGCACTGGTCACTGAGTCAGCTATAGAAAAAGATGGGGATATGAAAAGTCATAGTGTGTGTCAGATTGGTTGTGTTTAATAGTGAAGCTGCTTTTGACATCAATGTGTTTTTAAAAAGTATGGCGTTGTAATGAATGGAAACTAGATGATGACACCTTCCTTGTATCCCTTTCTCTCGCTACCATCGCTCTCTATCCCCTCCCTTCCCCCTTGCATCTCCCTCCCTTCTCTCCTCTCCGTCCCCCCGTCAGACCCTATATTCCAGGTGAAGGTGAAGGAGGGAGAGGCCCTGCTGGAGGCCCTGCAGCAGCCGTGGCAGGTCCAGGAGCGGGCCCTGGAGACAGACGTCGGAGCCCTCCGCTGGGTGGAGGACCTGGAGCAGAGGGTCATCGCCGCCGACCTGCACCTCAAGGTGAGATGCCAGGGGGACAGAGGGGCCCTGTCTCAATATTCTAAAGTGACTTCCTATCCATACTTACATTCCTCATCTGCACAGATCTGGAAACACAGATAGTAGAGAGTTGATCCCGAAATACGTTTCCGTCATATCATCCCCACATTTACCGCCTTTTCATATCTGTGCAGACCAAGGCGAGGAGGACACTTTAGACTGTTGAGATGCACCCAGGGATGCATGGGTAGGGTGGGTGCATGGTAGTTTGTAAAGGAAGTTGGGTTTGGGTTTGAAATGTCCAGAGCTTGTCAGTTTTTTATTATTCGTTTATTTCAGTTTTTATTTGATTTTTTACTATGGCTGCAGTTGCACTGAATGTCCAGAGGGTGGCGTAGGTGGTATGTGCAGCTGCAGTTTGTACAGAGTGAACGTGTCCCCCACCTAGCATTGTCATGCATAAGCAGGTAAACGTATCACACTCATCACATCATATGTCCATTACTTATATTTCAAGATGGCTCCTCAGAGTGGAAGGAGCGACACTGACAATAACACGGAAACGCCAGCCGCAGGATTCCAGGTACAAACCAGGTTTTAGATCTATCGTTCACACATCCTCACCCTCCTTTTGGATCTACACTCTTTCACAAGTCTTCACGTTTCCCCTTTAAGAATTCCTTTAGAATTATTTTTGTCACCTCCTAAAATGAAAAGGAGACGCCGTGTCCGAAATCTGGCATGCCTACTACTTACTTTAACTATAATTTGTAAGTCGCTCTGGATAAGAGCGTCTGCTAAATGACTTAAATGTAAATGATCGTACTACATACTATTTAGAACATACTGTTTAGTAAAAACGGATACAGTAAGCAACGAATAACCGCATACTAGGCTCATCCTACTGAGAATACGTTATCTAATGTGCAATTACGTTGATTTCTGCCATTCGTTAATTTTGGTAGAGCGCCACCACTCAGCTGATTATCAGCTGTTGTCAGACACACGTCCGGAAAGACAATTCTCTTCAGCGAATTCAACTTGATGAAAAGCCGAAATGAGTATGACATCCTGGCATTTAAAGCATACAAATTTGTTGAAATTTCACATACTATTTAGAACGCAAGTACGGGTATTCGGACACGGCCAATGTCTCTAGAGTTCTCACCTTTAACACCTCTGCTCCTAACACTGTTTGAAATAAGCGCTGTCTGTCTGTGTTCCTTATATTCACCCTACCTCTGTGGTTTTTAGGGGTCTGCTTTTATGTTTTGAAAATAGTTGTGTGGCTTAAAAAATGTATCATTTGATGTCTGCACTCGCTTACCTTACCTTACCTCACCTCTCCCACCTTACCTTACCTCACTTACCTCCAGTGGCGTGTATTCATGGATGCCAAGGGAAGCCAGCCTTCCCCAGAAAATTGACCAAGAAAAACATATAAAATAATTTATTTAGTCTCTGTTTTATCATTTTCTTTCAATTCGCAAGAGGCTGAATGTATCTCACCGGAGAAAGCATCCGAGTGAGCGAAACAGCGCCCCTCTGTCTCTGTACGTGTAGCCCATCTATCTGATGCTGTCTGGTCTAAATAAGTATGACTTTGTTGCCACCCGTAGCGTTGAATGCAAGGGAAGCCAGCAAGCAATTGGCCTCCCTTGATTTAAAAAATGTATAAAACAATAGCCAATCAGCTCAATTGTAAATGGTCCTGGTGCACCAAAAAAAAGTGTGAAGGGAAGCCAATTTGGATTTGGCGTCACTCCTATCAAATCGCATTGAGAGCATACGTCATTGACAGAAACGATTTGAATTGTTGCATCTCGTTGTGTTGTTGTCTTCCGGTGGCTGGCTAGCTATCTAAAATTGGCCCTTTCCTAAATTAGCCATGGCTGGAGATAGGGATTAGGACTTGTGGTTTTACTTAATTCTCTGTACTGGCCAATGATTATAACAGCGGTTCTGATCCAACCATTAATTCCTACATTGTGCCCCTGGCCTGAGAGGATGAAAGTTCAATATGTAGCTAGATGTAGAATGGTAATGTTAACTTGCTAACGTTGCCCATGAAAGGAAGTTAGGCTAGCGAGCAAGCATTTTAGCCAGGTAGCCTAGGACAACAAAAAATGCTGTATGACAGAGTGATAGCCCGTTTCGTCGACATGTAAGAGAGGAGAATATATCAGCAAGGTATATGAACTAACAGGTTATAGAGCAAACAATGCAATTATCACAACACAGGTTGTAATATGGCATTTTTTTCTGGCTTCCCCAGTGATTTTACCCTACGCACTGCTACTGTTTACCTCGCAACCCTTTTGAGTCTTGCTCTAGCTTCAAAGTCCTTTGCTTCACTGCTATTTGATTGTTGTGAACTATAATATAATATTTTCTGTCATTCTCCCTCCTCCCCACCTCAGCCCTACACGGTTCCAGAGGTGGACTCCACGCGTGACGACCTGCAGTACTACGAGCATGACGTGGACCCCCGGGACGACTGGATCGTGCGGACCAAGAAGGAGTGGTCAGACCTGCCCCGCGTGGCCAGCCACCCGCTGGACCTGGCCGTCCTGCGCCTGGCCAACCTGGAGAGGAACATCGACCGGCGCTACCTGAAGGAGCCCCTCTGGAACCTGGCCGAGGTGGTGCGTCTCGCCCCCCTCACCCCCGAGGAGAGCCAGATGGGTCAGATGGACGTCATGAGGTGGGAGGGACAGGGTTGAAGTCAGGCGAGGGGTCAGAGGTTGGAAAGGGTGGAGGGGAGCGTGTTTTAATAATAATAATAAAATGGATTCGATTTGTGTAGCATTTGGTCAAATTGCTCAAAGCTCTTCAGTGATTTAAACCTTCATCTCACTTCAGCTCTTAATTGTGTTTATTAAGACCTATTTTTATCATCTCTTTCCCCCAGTCTGGAGAGTGAGATCACCCCCAGGTTGCGGACGTGGCGTCAGGCCCTGGACCGCTGTCGGAGCGCCCCCCAGCTGTGTCTGTGTCTGCTGCAGCTGGAGAAGGCCATCGCCTGGGAGAGATCTGTGGTCAAAGTGGTGAGGACAAACCCAGTAGCAATACTCAATATGTACACTGAGAATAGAAACCATTATTATAAAGGGAAGAAAATTATGGATGTAGGTGAAACAAGGAATATAGAACATTCCCATGGCAAATATCATAGTAGTGACATGCTGATGAGACCATTGAGAAGACACTTTGATCCAAAGCAACTTACAGCAAACAAATGTAGTATAGCACCATAGTCTGAAAGATGGCAACAAAGCATTTCCCTTGAAGACTACCTGTGGGTCCCTGTCTGTGTGTTGTTGTAGACGTGTCAGGTGTGCAGGAAGGGGGATAATGATGAGTACCTGCTGCTGTGTGACTGCTGTGACCGCGGCTGCCACATGTACTGCCTGAGGCCAAAGGTCACCCAGGTGCCAGAGGGGGACTGGTTCTGCCCCACCTGCGTCTCCAAGGTGAGTACTGACTGGGGCTGCACTCTGCTTGGCTACCCTTATGGACAACAGCAGGTGTCACTGCTCATCTAACCAGGGGGGAGGAGTTAAGAAGGGAACCGTTCAGAACATTGCAGATAGAAATGTTGTCGGTTTTTTGTTTGAAACTTGGCTTAGATTAAGATAAAAAACTGTATACGCTGATTTACTTTTTGTAAATTTAACCAAAAAGCCATGTTGGTGCAACATAATTACAATAATAATATATGGTGAAACAACATGAACACAATGGTAGCTTTTTGTCCCCAGTGTTTTGAAACTGAACAAGTATTAAACCATAATATTGTCAGGCCCTACTTCGAAATCTGCCACAGTAGTACCCTCTGTAATTTCTCCTCCCTGTGGCCCTGAGTCCTCCTTAACCTTTCTCCCAGGGCTGTTATTTCATCACTGTCTCACTGTGTCCTGTTGTTTTATAAGGCGAGTGACGGTGAGTCACCACGTAGCAACCATCGCTCCTCCAAGCAGAGGACACGGGTGAAGAAGAGGAGGTACGAAGACGACAGTTCTGACGAGGAGACGGTGCCCAGCAGACGCAGCGGTGGTGGTGCTAGCATGGCAACACGGCATAAGGACGGCGGCCCTGCCTCGTCCTCCTCATCCTCCCGCTACTCGGGAGATGGAGGAGGCACAGCAGGCTTCTCACCCGCAAAGCGCCGCCGCATGACCACCCGCAACCAGCCCGACCTCACCTACTGCGAGTGAGTCTGATCTCAGATCAGTTGTAGTGTCACAATGTTTCAGTGGTTATAGGACATGATATTAAATTACTCACCTCAAATTAGTTACCGTGTCCCATTGCACCAGTGGTTTCTATAAGACCATGAGATTCATGTTCTGACTAGCATGTGATGATAGTCCCGTTCTAGCTGACGTGTTTTGTGTTTGTGTGTAGAATCATCCTGATGGAGATGGAGTCTCACGCTGACGCCTGGCCCTTCCTGGAGCCCGTCAACCCCCGCGTGGTGCCCGGCTACCGACGCATCATTAAGAACCCCATGGACTTCCTCACCATGAGGGAGAGGCTGCTGCAGGGAGGGTATGGGGCTCTCATTCACTCTTTCTGTCTGTGTGTGTGTGGGGGCTTGTATTACTATCCTTGTGGGTACCGGAAGGACAAAGGATATTTTAAGCTTAGGGGTTGGTTTAGGGGTTAGGGAAAATAGGATTTTGAATGGAATTACATTTTAGGTCCCCACAGTGTTGTGTTCAAGATCACCTAAGGAGAGACCGATTCAAGACCAAGACCGGAGCAAATCGAGTCTGAGTCAACACCAAGACCGGGAGGGGGACAAGGGGTCCGAGTCCCGAAACATGCGAGTCCAATTCAAGACCATGATTGTAGTTTTGTCAAATCACCACCATAATAAGAGTTCAAATGTCCATTATTTCTGTGTTCATATTTCAGAACAACATATGGATTCTTTAGACCTTCAGAATAGTGGAAAAATGCATGCGAGGGAAAATAGAGCCACTCTACAAATGATTACTGACCTAAACACAGTGGGCCTTCTACGCCTTCAGAGAAGGGCTAAGGATTTATAAAATAATAATAATAATATTATTTTCAATGATGTTCTGATTTAATCTCTTCAGTTTTTGTTGGAAAGGAAAGGGTTAACGCTGGAGGGAAAAAAAGATCCAATCAGGATTTTTCTTTGCTGGTCTCTGGGGAGATAAATCTAGCTAGCTAAGTCAGCCATTGGCTAGCACATCAGAAGCTGTGATTTTTATTGCGGCGTGCTTGCTGTTTGCCATCTCTTTGAAAATAACTTGTGTGTGAAACATTGTTGCATTTAAAGTGGAACTGACAGCATTTTAGCAACATGAAGAATATCCCACTTTTTAAAACATTTTCTGACAAGCGACCACGTTTTCATAAATTCTTAGAATGTTTGGGAATTACATATACTAAAGCATTTGTGAGAATTCTATAGCAATATAGAGTGGGAAATCGGCCATGCGTTTGGACAATTAACAGACACTGCAGAAAATAAAACAGAATAAAAATATCTGTCTTGTCCAGGACCTATAGCCAATCAGAGCTACAGTAGGCTTTTATACAAACAAGCCATTTGCCACATGGGCCTGCCATCATTCACTTTGAACTGGACTGTGTGTTTACAGGCAGTTGCAACAGCGCTTTAGATCATTTAGAACGCATTCGCCAAAAGCCACAAAATAAACCTGAATGGATTTCTGCAAATATGTAAACACCATGGGAGTCCCCTTACATTTGGGAACTTTACAGTCCTATTGATCAAAGGTAGGATCTCTCTCCCTCAGTTATGCACCTCAACAACAACAAGATCAACAACTAATGCTAGCCAGAGCAAGATGAGCTAAAATCTAATGAAGGAACATTAGATAAACCCTCCAACTTTTTCAGCTAGTTGGCCGTCAAAATTGCGCTGATAAACGATGGGGAATTGTAGCCTCTGCAGCTTGCCTGCCAATGCATGCTTGTACCAACCAAGCACCCAAGCTAAATAGCTTGCTAGCTACTTCCAGACACAAATGAGAGAACACCTCACTCTGACCATTTTACTCGCCGTAGCAGAGCTGGTTAGGCTGTTTACATGTTATCTAGAGCATTCTTGACTAACTATTACTTTTTTTGCCTACATTTACTGACACCGGTCATATTCAGTGGGTGTTGCACGTTCATAAATTCATCAGTTGTTCTGCGCTCTGGCACACTCGGATGAGAGTGCTCTGAAATCGGAGTAGATAGCCAGAGTGAATTTACGAACGCAAGAGATATGCTAACTAGATAACAGTCGTTCAAGTACTTGCTAGCTAACCAAATGACACCTGTATCTCTAGCTGTGTATAGCCACCGAGGGGGAAAAATCTGTCACTCACCCACTCCTCCAATGGCATGACATGACATCCTCCTAGCAGCTAGCTACCTAGCTAGCTATTTAGCTAATGTTAAGCTCCGTGTTTTTTTAGCTTGCTACATAAATAGATACGCTAGCCTATTAGCCACGTTATGACTGACTTGTGATCATTGCCCTTGGTAGTTTGATTGTATTGACATTCCCAGCCTTAGTTACATTCGTCAGTTTTTGTCCAGAATATTGAGTCATTGAAACTGAAACAGTGCATCCCGAATGGAGGCAGCAAACAATGTACCAGGCCAGCTGTGATTTACAACCTGAAAGCAATATTTTGGACTACCAAAAAAAGTATTGGTGAATTATATCATACATTGAACTGCATCCATCTATTCTGCCAACAATGCCTTAGTGTATGTCATGGAACGTTGAGTCAAATAATAACCTATTTTTAAAACCTCTATGTTGGTTTTGTAGCATAAACTGGGAATTTGATATTTTTGACTGATATTATGATTCTGTTTGTTTCATATCTGCAAAGTAGTTAAAACACTGTCAGTTCTACTTTAAACTTTAGGTCACTGGTTATTTTGTGTGCTATATTTTTTGCAATGGGAAGTAATAGTTGTACATTTCAATTGGGGAATGCTTAATGGTTGTGGTTTTGTATTCTTATGATTGGGACCTACTGGCGTATTATGTCAGAGTTTATGGACTGCTTATCCTTTAACATCATGCTGTGTGTGACTGCTGTCTTTCCATCGGCCCTATCCAGTGGTGTAGTGGTGTCTGGAGAAGTGGCTATACTCTAACTTTGCCAAAAAGTTCCCAAACGTCCCGCCCAGATTTTTACTCTCCAAACCACATAAAACATTTGTTTTTAAAAATAAAATAAATGTTGATGGTCTAAGTCCACAACAATGCTTAAACCACATCAATCTGATTGGTTGGGCCTGTCAGGGACTGGCTCCCCAGTGGGTGGGCATGTGTCCACCCAGGCTCATCCATGTCTACGCCCATGATTTTAAATAGCGCATGATGACAATTGCGCATCACAAATAGCCTAATAACCAACACATCGGACTAAATCTTTTCAATTCCTGGTTTACATACCCATTGTTGCCTTAAGTTAGTATTTACTGGTAGATATCATAAGTTGAAACGCCTTTCCTACCCTACCGGCTACCGATGTTATTCTTTTGTGAGCTGCTCCATGCCAAAACCAGTTGAGAGCTGCACACTGCCTGCAGATGAAATTCCACTGAAACTAGGCTATTTGTGCGGCTCGCATTGTGAATATATTTCACGTGCTTTGCGATTTATGTAGGCTACTTTGTGCATGATTTCTCTATTGTACTATATAATAAGTCGTATACCTCCACTACAATACTTTGATACGCATCAGTAGGGATTAAGAAGTGAGTATACGCAATGCCCTCTGAAAATAAATGGTTTATACCTGCATATACCCTCCACTACACCACTGGCCCTTTTGTGTTTTACAAAAAGTGCACTCCTACATGAGTGCACTGGTATTACGGTTGCTGTCTTTTCAGAATCACCAACCTGTCACACACTGAAGGCCTATAGGTTCGCCACTGCGTAAACATGTCTATAATAGATATAAAGGCTGTTAAGATATTCATGTTTCAAGAAAGGAGTGTATATACAGTGAGGGGAAAAAAGTATTTCATCCCCTGCTGATTTTGTACATTTGCCCACTGACAAAGACATGATCAGTCTATAATTTTAATGGTAGGTTTATTTGAACAGTGAGAGACAGAATAACAACAAAAAAATCCTGAAAAACGGATGTCAAAAATGTTATACATTTATTTGCATTTTAATGAGGGAAATAAATATTTGACCCCTCTGCAAAACATGACTTAGTACTTGGTGGCAAAACCATTGTTGGCAATCACAGAGGTCAGACGTTTCTTGTAGTTGGCCACCAGGTTTGCACACAACTCAGGAGGGATTTTGTTCCAATCCTCTTTTCAGATCTTCTCCAAGTCATTAAGGTTTTGAGGCTGACGTTTGGCAACTCGAACCTTCAGCTCCCTCCACAGATTTTCTATGGGATTAAGGTCTGGAGACTGGCTAGGCCACTCCAGGACCTTAATGTGCTTCTTCTTGAGCCACTCCTTTGTTGCCTTGGCTGTGTGTTTTGGATCATTGTCATGCTGGAATACCCATCCACGACCCATTTTCAATGCCCTGGCTGAGGGAAGGAGGTTCTCACCCAAGATTTGACGGTACATGGCCCCGTCCATCGTCCCTTTGATGCGGTGAAGTTGTCCTGTCCCCTTAGCAGAAAAACATCCCCAAAGCATAATGTTTCCACCTCCATGTTTGACGGTGGGGATGGTGTTCTTGGGGTCATAGGCAGCATTCCTCCTCCTCCAAACACGGCGAGTTGAGTTGATGCCAAAGAGCTCGAGTTTGGTCTCATCTGACCACAACACTTTCACCCAGTTCTCCTCTGAATCATTCAGATGTTCATTGGCAAACTTCAGACGGCCCTGTATATGTGCTTTCTTGAGCAGGGGGACCTTGCGGGCGCTGCAGGATTTCATTCCTTCACGGCGTAGTGTGCTACCAATTGTTTTCTTGGTGACTATGGTCCCAGCTGCCTTGAGATCATTGACAAGATCCTCCCGTGTAGTTCTGGGCTGATTCCTCACCGTTCTCATGATCATTGCAACTCCACGAGGTGAGATCTTGCATGGAGCCCCAGGCCGAGGGAGATTGACAGTTATTTTGTGTTTCTTCCATTTGCGAATAATTGCACCAACTGTTGTCACCTTCTCACCAAGCTGCTTGGCGATGGTCTTGTAGCCCATTCCAGCCTTGTGTAGGTCTACAATCTTGTCCCTGACATCCTTGGAGAGCTCTTTGGTCTAGGCCATGGTGGAGAGTTTGGAATCTGATTGATTGATTGCTTCTGTGGACAGGTGTCTTTTATATAGGTAACAAACTGAGATTAGGAGCACTCCCTTTAAGAGTGTGCTCCTAATCTCAGCTCGTTACCTGTATAAAAGACACCTGGGAGCCAGAAATCTTTCTGATTGAGAGGGGGTCAAATACTTATTTCCCTCATTAAAATGCAAATCAATTTATAACATTTTTGACATGCGTTTTTCTGGATCTTTTTGTTGTTATTATGTCTCTCACTGTTCAAATAAACCTACCATTAAAATTTTAGACTGATCATTTCTTTGTCAGTGGGCAAACGTACAAATCAGCAGGGGATCAAATACTTTTTTCACTCGCTGTATTTGGCCTGGCGAAGCGTTTTTATGCGCTGACTGAATGGAAGCTGATAATTATGAGTTTTTTTAGTCCGCTGGTCTCGGGAAGAAATTACGAGTCCTCACTGTCCGAGACCGAGTCAAGACCAAGTACAAATGTCTCTGACATCGAGACGACCGAGACATTCAATATGTGGTCTTGAGACCGGTCTCGAGTACTACAACACTGTGTCCCCAAAAGGATAGTAAAACGTCTACAACATGACCCAAACTTCCGTAAGGAGGCCGGTTCCTTTCATTTTCAACAATGTTACTGAAGATCTGTAAGCTTATATTTGACCTGTCTTTCTCTTCTCTCCTCCCCTGTTCCCCAGGTACTGCAGCTGTGAGGAGTTTGCAGCGGACGCACATATGGTGTTCAACAACTGCGAGCAGTTCAATGAGGACACGTCCGAGGTGGGCATGGCCGGACACTCCATGAAGCGCTTCTTCGAGAACCGCTGGGCTGAGTTCTACGAGAGCAAGGACCAATAAGAGTCCAGGACACTTGTGCTGGGGGCGGGGCCAACCAAGGACAGCGCCCTAACCCTGATGCTTACGCTCCCCGTTACTACTAAGACTGTCTGGGCCAGAGTATCCTCCGACTCACTGTATACATCTATGTATAGATTTGGATACATTGGGGAAAAAAAGTATTTAGTCAGCCACCAATTGTGCAAGTTCTCCCACTTAAAAAGATGAGAGAGGCCTGTAATTTTCATCATAGGTACACGTCAACTATGACAGACAAAATGAGAAAAAAAAATCCAGAAAATCACATTGTAGGATTTCTTATGAATTTATTTGCAAATTATGGTGGAAAATAAGTATTTGGTCAATAACAAAAGTTTCTCAATACTTTGTTATATACCCTTTGTTGGCAATGACACAGGTCAAACGTTTTCTGTAAGTCTTCACAAGGTTTTCACACACTGTTGCTGGTATTTTGGCCCATTCCTCCATGCAGATCTCTAGAGCAGTGATGCTTTTGCTCACCGTTCTTGTGATCATTTCGACCCCACGGAGTGAGATCTTGCGTGGAGCCCCAGATCGAGGGAGATTATTAGTGGTCTTGTATGTCTTCCATTTCCTAATAATTGCTCCCACAGTTGATTTCTTCAAACCAAGCTGCGTACCTATTGCAGATTCAGTCTTCCCAGCCTGGTGCAGGTCTACAATTTTGTTTCTGGTGTCCTTTGACAGCTCTTTGGTCTTGGCCATAGTGGAGTTTGGAGTGTGACTGTTTGAGGTTGTGGACTGGTGTCTTTTATACTGATAACAAGTTCAAACAGGTGCCATTAATACAGGTAACGAGTGGAGGACAGAGGAGCCTCTTAAAGAAGAAGTTACAGGTCTGTGAGAGCCAGAAATCTTGCTTGTTTGTAGGTGACCAAATACTGTCATAGTTGACGTGTACCTATGATGAAAATTACAGGCCTCTCTCATCTTTTTAAGTGGGAGAACTTGCACAATTGGTGGCTGACTAAATACTTTTTTCCCCCACTGTACTTGTCTGTTCTTGTTTTTCCCTTTCTCTGCTTCACCTTTTTTAAAACCTCAACCCTGTTGGCTTGAAATTCTCTCGATGACCGAGGGGGATGTTTGAGTTCCCTCCCTCGCTATGCACCCTCACTTCTGTACCTGGCCACCTGTTTGGAATTCTCTTGTCGTCATGTTCTCTCCTACGCCACACCCCTTGTCTCATAAGGCCACGGTATTGGTCCATCCCTTCCTTTGGGGGCGGGAGGAGGGTCTGAAGCCCTGAGCGGATTGGTTCTCAAACTCTGCCCTCTGTCGCGGTCAGGAGGTCTGCCAGACCAATACGTTGCTGCAGACCGGACATGCTCTGACCTCGTTTCCACCACATAGATCAAAACCCTAAGGTCCTCTCTGAACTCACTTAAACACTTTGGGATTGGACCCTCTTTTAACTGTTCAATGGAAATGTAGTGTTGTCTTATGCCTGAAGCAATTTTTCTCAAAATATTTTTATTATATATTCTATATATATATATACACACTACTGTTCAAACGTTTGGGGTCGCTTAGAAATGTCCTTGTTTTTGAAAGAAAAGCAATTTTTTTTTGTCCATTAAAATAACATCAGAGTTGCAAAGAAAAAGCCATATCTCAGACTGGCCAATAAAAATAAAAGATTAAGATGGGCAGTCTGAGATATGGCTTTTTCTTTGCAACTCTGCCTAGAAGGTCAGCATCCCGGAGTCGCTTCTTCACTGTTGACGTTGAGACTGGTGTTTTGCGGGTACTATTTAATGAAGCTGCCAGTTGAGGACCTGTGAGGCGTCTGTTTCTCAAACTAGACACACTAATGTATTTGTCCTCTTGCTCAGTTGTGCACCGGGGCCTCCCACTCCTCTTTCTGTTCTGGTTAGAGACAGTTTGCGCTGTTCTGTGAAGGGAGTAGTACACAGGGTTGTATGAGATCTTCAGTTTCTTGGCAATTTCTCGCATGGAATAGCCTTCATTCCTCAGAACAAGAATAGACTGACGAGTTTCAGAAGAAAGTTATAGACTGGCCATTTTGAGCCTGTAATCGAACCCACAATTGCTGATGCTCCAGATACTCAACTAGTCTCAAGAAGGCCAGTTGTATTGCTTCTTTAATCAGTACAACAGTTTTCAGCTGTGCTAACATAATTGCAAAAGGGTTTTCTAATGATCAATTAGCCTTTTAAAATAATAAACTTGGATTCGCAAACACAACATGCCATTGGAACACAGGACTGATGGTTGCTGATAATGGGCCTCTGTACGCCTATGTAGATATTCCATAAAAAATCAGCCGTTTCCAGCTACAATAGCCATTTACAACATTAACAATGTCTACACTGTATTTCTGATCAATTTGATATTTTAATGGACAAAACAATTGCTTTTGTTTTGAAAACAAGGACATTTCTAAGTGACCCCAACTTTTGAATGGTAGTGTATATATAAAGATGACAATAGCTGGGATAATTTAATAGCAATAGCTTGTAGTGAATGTGTACAGACTACATAGTTGAGATGTCTAGACGATTTATGAAAAAGGCCAGTAAAACAAAATGGAAAGGAGCGTTTTTTTCTTCTTCTGAAGACTCACATTATTAGACTCTTACATTGTGTAACGCAACCCCTGACCTAATTCTCACCTAGACCCACACTCCTGCTGCTGTGTGAAGGTCACTGGTTTCAGAAACTGGAGGCTTTAGTGTGTTGTTTGTTTTCTGTCCTGTTTTAGACTTTTTGTTTGCACTGCTCCATAATGACAACAAAGACCGGTAGTCACAGCAATGGGAATTGGCAGGTGTAGTGTGTCCATAGATGGTGTCAATAGGACTGAAATGACGCTACTGCCATTTTAAACCTCTGTTTAAACACTGTTCGCTTTGTGTTGCAGCTTCGCAGCTCTTTACCATATTGGTCAAATTATGCAGAAAGCTAGCAGGCTGCTGAAATGTTATTGGTTGACTGTTCTCAAACAAAATGTCATGTTTTTTAGCGACACCTGTTCATGGGAAGAATTGTTTTGATATTACAGAAAATTGTCACTCAATATTTCTTAGAATGCAGATGGTTTTTTAAATCACTAAGTTTAAAGGACCTTATCAGGAATTTGGTAAACACTGAAAATGTTCAAACTCATCAATTTGAAATGAAAGAAGAAACAGACCTGTGCTTATAAAACAAAACAATAACTCATACCCCCCCCCCCCCCCCCTTAAGCTTGGCAGTTAAGTGCAGGAACAGGCATAGCTTGTGTGTTAGGAGAAACATTTTGTTCTAGACGCCTACTGATAAAAGGCTTCTATACAAGTATGTGCATATTTTGCTAAGCTCATGTTCCATTTTATGAATCAACTTTTTCTCTGTAAAGGGGACACTGTGCTCAATAGAGCCCCACAGTGGAGGTGTCATAATACCCATAAAACCTAGCGGTCAAACGGAAATGGTTCCAATCGTTTTTCCACCATTCATTTTTCCCATAGGGGAAAAAACTTCAAATAAGGGCTGTGTTTTGTCTAGGCTTACCCTGGCGTGACGTTTTGATAACCACGTAAATCTCTCTCGGACAAGGTGACTTTTATCAATATATTTGGCTCTATTTACTCTTAGATTCGAAAATGGTAATTAGCATCAAAGAAGACATCATGCCAAACTACAAAGCCCTGCAAGCTCCTGCACATCATCTCTAGCTGACACCTTTGCTAACAGGTATTGTGTCAATTTAAAACTTGCTCAAGACAGTTCACAGAATTGTCAATTTTTAAAGTAATTTAGCCAATTTATTCATTACTACATTTAGCTAACATTAGCTAGTTCATCCAGAGATGTGTGGTATTTGTAGTTCTTTATGATAGCCTAATTAGAATTTCATTTTTTGGGGGTAAATACAGGCGAATATATTGATAAGTCACCTTGTCCGAGAGAGATTTACATGGTTATCAAAACGTCATTCCTGAGTAAGCCTACAAGAGAAACAGCCCTTATTTGAAGTATTAAAATCCCCTATGGGAAAAATGAATGGTGGAAAAACTATCGGAACCATTTCCCTGTTTGACCGCTAGGTTTTATGGGTATTATGACTCATACTGTGATAATCTATAGCGTGGCATGGTTGGTGTGTTATGGGAAAGTTATAAAGGCGGCAGGACGATACTCCACAATCCGGGTTTTATTTAAAGCGTAGTTTCTTACACTGAACTCAAACCGGTCGATAGGAAATGCATTTTTGTGTTCCTTTCTACACAAAAGGGACATTTTTTTTATATATAAAAAAAAAAAACTAAAAGACATGAATAAAACCAAATGTGGTGTTAAGTGAATTTTTCAAAATGTACAGTTTTTGTGACTTTACATTTGTTCCTTTCTATATTTTTAGGACCAATATAATTTTTAAGAGGTATTACAAGACCATGTGGTATCTTGGTGATGTAACACGTGTGCATCTGTAGAACGTACTGTTAGTTGAATAAAAACCAAGTCTAGTAAAGACTACACTCTGGAACTGTCCCTGGGTCCTCATTTCACTCTCCTTTTTTATTAAATCACAGAAGTAGGACATCCAATAAGTATTATGGAACCAGCAAGCTAGTACAGTAGCCTCAGCCTGAAATGAGGTGTAAGAGCAGAGCTGTACACCCATTCACAGACAAACCCCTATATACAGTGCATTCAGAAAGTATTCAGACCCCTTGGCTTTTTCCACGTTTTGTTACAATACAGCCTTATTCTAAAATACAATACCCCATAATGACAAAGCAAAAACAGGTTGTTAGAATTTTTTTCAAGTTTATTAGAAATAGAAAACTGAAATCACATTTACATAAGTATTCAAACCCTCAGTACTTTGTTGAAGCCAATTTGGCAGTGATTACAGCCTCGAGTCTTCTTGGGTATGATGCTACAAGCTTGGCACACCTGTATTTGGGGAGTTTCTCCCATTCTTCTCTGAAGATCCTCTCAAGCGCTGTCAGGTTGGATGGGGAGTGCTGCTGCAGCTACTTTCAGGTCTCCAGAGATATTAAATCGGGTTCAAGTCCGGGCTCTGGCTGGGCCACTCAAGGACATTGAGACTTGTCCCGAAGCCACTCCTGCATTGTCTTGGCTGTGCGCTTTGGGTCGTTGTCCTGTTGGAAGGTGAACCTTCGCCCCCAGAAGGACAACCATCTCTGCAGTACTCCACCAATCAGGCCTTTATGGTAGAGTGGCCAGACAGAAGCCACTCCTCAGTAAAAGGCACATGACAGCCTGCTTGGAGTTTGCCAAAAGGCACCTAAAGACTCTCAGACCATGAGAAACAAGATTGAACTCTTTGGCCTGAATGCCAAGCGTCACGTCTGGAGGGAACTTGGCACCATTCCTACGGTGAAGCATGGTGGTGGCAGCATCATGCTGTGGGGATGTTTTTCAGCGGCAGGGACTGGGGAGACTAGTCAGGATCGAGTGAAAGATGAACGGAGAAAAATACAGAGAGATACTTGATGGAAATCTGCTCCAAAGCGCTCAGGACCTTCATAAAGGGTCTGAATACTTATGTTAATGTGTTATTTCAGCTTTTTGTTTTTTTATACATTTGCAAAAATTTCTAAAACCTGTTTTTGCTTTGTCATTATGGGGTATTGTGTGTAGATTGATGAGGGAAAAAAACGATGTAATCATTTTTAGAATATGGCTGTAACGTAACAAAATGTGGAAAAAGTCAAGGGGTCTGAATACTTTCCGAATGCACTGTATGTGCTGATCATTTAGAGGTTTATGCTATAGCAGAGGGAGATAACAGCATAACCCTTCAGACACTTCCTTCTGACACTATCCATGAGCTCTCTATTCTGGGATATGATAGATGGTCTCCCTCTCTCATATCCCTTAGCTGGCACTTTTGGAGCGGTTTTAGTGGCAACCAGTTTGTGGTCTGAGTGGGGTTTTGTGTGTGTGCATGGTTGTGTGTGTGTGTGGTTGTGTCAGCACTCTGGGTGGAGGGGGCTGAAAACTCCCCATGCCAGCGGGTTCCACTGCTCCCCCCACCCATGCTGCCCCACACAGGGGGGCTTAGCTCCACAAAAGGGGGTATAACAGCGCCGGTGGTTGGGGGTAATCCACCCCATAATGGGGCATGCTAATGCACCCCACAACCAGTTCATTCTGGACCGGGTCTGCTACAGAGTGGGCCCCTGAGGCCTAGGGGGCTTCTCTTGGCCATTGCCCTTCTCCGGTCCCCTCAAATCCCACAAACACCCCTCTATCACCCAGGCCCCCACCACTCACCCACTGGGTAGAGGTTATTTACATTTACATTTTAGTCATTTAGCAGACGCTCTTATCCAGAGCAACTTACAGTTAGTTAGTGATTACATTTTTTTTTTTATACTGGAATCGAACCCACAACCCTGGCGTTGCAAACGCCATGCTCTATCAACTGAGCTACATCCCTGCCAGCCATTCCCTCCCCTACCCTGGGCCAATTGTGCGCCGCCCATGAGTCTCCCGGTCGCGGCCGGCTGCGACAGAGCCTGGATTCGAACCAGGATCTCTAGTGGCACAGTTAGCACTGCAATGCAGTGCCTTAGACCACTGCGCCACTCAGGAGCCACTTAGTGTCATCATCTTGGCATAATTTAAGCCTGATCTATTTGATTAATGACTTCCAATCAAAACTATCACACAGCCTGTTGCACACGTCAGAACTTGAGATTCATGACTTTTTTGGTTCATATCTTCACTTTATTGCAAGGTTAGTGTTTATAGAATGGTTATCAAATAACCAATAACAAGGTAAATACATAGTGCATATTGTTAAAACACAGGAACTCTGTGTATTTCTTTAGGGAGGATCTTCACAGTGGTGGTGTTTGTTTCATATCAAAGAGAATGAGAAAAAACATATTCTGAGCCAGCATCACAATAGGCGCCATGGCAACTGCATCACGAAAGAGACTGTCTCCATGGCGATTCGAACGGTAGATTGATGGAAGAGGGGTGGGAGGAGAGGAGAGGAGAGGAGTAGATGCCATGGTGAGTGGGAGATTAACAGTTTAGATATTAGATAATTGAAGATAAACTTTAGATTCGATAGAATCGTTTGGCCCTATAAATCCCAGTAAGGTGTTCTGTTGTTTTTCCGTGTGGAAGGACCATGACGTCATGATCAAACTTTCACTTTCCTTCAGTCAGATACCCCTGCACTCATCTCTCAATCACTGCAGTCTCTCTCTCTATCGTTCTGGCTCTCTGACTCTTTTTCTCTAAACCAACATGATAACATTGTTACAACTATCAAAATGTTTACATTTTAGTCATTTAGGGCAGACACTCTTATCCAGAGCGACTTACAGGAGCAATTAGGGTTAAGTGCCTTGCTCAAGGGCACATTGACAGATTTTTCACCTAGTTGGCTCAGGGATTCTCCCTCAACGTGATCAAGACAAAGGAGATGGTTGTGGACTACAGGAAAAGAAGGACCGAGCACACCCCCATTCTCATCAACAGGGCTGTAGTGTAGCAGGTTGAGAGCTTCAAGTTCCTTGGTGTCCACATCACCAACAAACTATCATGCTCCAAACACACCAAGACAGTCATGAAGAGGGCACGACAAAGCCTATTCCCCCTCAGGAGACTTGGCATGGGTCCTCAGATCCTCAAAAGTTATACAGCTGCACCATAGAGAGCATCCTGACTGGTTGCATCACTGCCTGGTATGGCAACTGCTCGGCCTCCGATCGCAAGGCACTACAGAGGGTAGTGCGTACGGCCCAATACATCACTGGGGCCAGGCTTCCTGCCATCCAGGACCTCTATACCAGGCGGTGTCAGAGGAAGGCCCTAAAAATTGTCTAAGACTCCAGCCACCCTAGTCACAGACTGTTCTCTCTGCTACCGCACGGCAAGCGGTACCGGAGCGCCAAGTCTAGGTCCAAAAGGCTTCTTAACAGCTCCTACCCCCAAGCCATAAGACTCCTGAACAGCTAATCAAATGGCTACCCGGACTATCTTTAACACTTCTGCTACTCTCTCTTTATTATCTATGCATAGTCACTTTAACTATACCTACATGTACATATTACCTCAATTACCTCGACTAACCGGTGCCCCCGCACATTGACACCGGTACCCCCTGTATGTAGCCTCGCTACTGTTATTTTTACTGTTATTTTACTGCTTTTATTTATTACTTATCTATTGTTTACATAACACTTATTTTTCTTAAAACTGCATTGTTGGTTAAGGGCTTGTAAGTAAGCATTTCACTGTTGTATTCGGCGCATGTGACAAATAAAATTTGATTTGATTTGAACCAGCAACCTTTCAGTTACTGGCCCAACGCTCTTAACCGCTAGGCTACCTGCCACCCAATCATTCCAAAATGTCTTGATTACAATATATGTGATAGATTGACCTTGTGGTTGGATCCAGTCAAACTGCACCCAGTAGCTGATCAATTCATCCTACAATGTGGATGCTGTATTTGTGTTAGGTAATGATATGGCCTGTTAATGATATGGCTGCCCTGTCTCTCTCCATCTCCACTCAGTAATGGGCCTCTTCTCAGGGTAATTGACATGAAAACGAGTCCGAGGAGCTATGATGTGTGCCAGGTGCTCAGGACACTCCAGCTGAGCTCAGACCAGGAGGAGAAGTCCCCGGCTGGGGAACATGTCCTCATACTGAGAAGGGGGAGTGCAAATGATGACCAAACACACTTGAGCAATCACTATGAAGGGGGAGGAGGCAGAACAGAGAGAAGGATCCCACAGATCGACAGAAGCACAGACGGACAGACAGAAAGGATAACTACGCACTCTACCTGTTCAACATTACAATGTGTGAGGTGAATATTTTTTTTTCAATGCTGCAGACATTTTTTGGTACCCTTCCCCAGATCTGTGCCTCGAGGCAATCCTGTCTCGGAGGTCTACGGACAATTCCTTCGACCTCACGGCTTGGTTTTTGCTCTGGCATGCACTGTCAACTGTGGGACCTTTTATATAGACAGGTGTGTGCCTTTCCAAATCATGTCCAATCAATTGAATTTACCACAGTTGGACTCCAATCAAGTTGTAGAAACAGCTTAAGGAAGATCAATGGAAACAGGATGCACCTGAGCTTAATTTCGAGTCTCATAGCAAAGGGTCTGAATACTTATGTAAATAAGGTATTATTATTATATATATATTTTAAACATTTCTAAAAACCTGTTTTCGCTTTGTCGTTATGGGTTATTGTGTGTAGATTGCTAAAAATAATAATAATATTTAATCCATTTTAGAATAAGGCTGTAACGTAACAAAATGTTGAAAAGGTCAAGGGGTCTGAATACTTTCCGAAGGCATAGGATATAAATGCAATAATATACAATTATATACAATATGATCATATAATGATAAAGATTTCAAATTACATGTGAATGTGTATACACACTCAGACACAGAAAGTAAAATTGTACATACATTACACACTGAACAAAAATATGAATTCAGCATGCAACAATTTCAAAGATTTTACTGAGTTACAGTTCATGTAAGGAAATCAGTCAATATAAATAAATTCATTAGGCCCTAATCTATGGATGTCACATGACTGGGCAGGGGTGCAGCCATGGGTTGGCCTGGGAGGGCATACGCCTACCCACTTGGGAGCCAGGCCCACCCACTGGGGAGCCAGGCCAAGCCAATCAAAATTAGTTTTTCCCCACAAATGTGCTTTATTACAGACAGAAATAACTCCTCAGCATATACTCCTAGGCCCTAATCTATGGATTTCACATGACTGGGCAGGGGTGCTGAAATGAACATTCAACAGCTCTGGTAGACATTCCTACAGTCAGCATGCCAATTGCATGCTCCCTCAACTTGAGACATCTGTGGCATTGTGTTTTATGACAAAACGGCACATTTTAGAGTGGCCTTTTATTGTCCCCAGCACAAGCACAAGCATTTTCATGCTGTTTAATCAGCTTCTTGATATGCCACACCTGTCAGGATGATGGATTATCTTGGCAAAGGAGAAATGCTCACTAACAGAGATGTAAACAAATTTGTGCACAAAATTTGAGAGAAATAAGCTTTTTGTTCAGCTCATGAAACATGGGACCAACACTTTACATTTTGTGTTTATATTTTTGTTCATTATAGATATATATAGTTAAATATACTTATAGATAAATATATATATTAGTTAAATGAAAATGATCAGTATTTGGTGCTGACGTATTGGTGCATAGTTGATTTTGTTCAATATATATTTGTTACACAATTGTAAGTATTCAGTGATGTAATACTAATTTATGCAGAAATATGATATATAACCCAACAACTACTCAAAGAAATTTCATTTTTGTAACACAAAATCCTTTATTTATGTATTTCTTTATTTTAGCATTACTCACCCTGTCTGTGAATGCTTTGAAATGCTAAAAAGGCCTACCCTAATCATTGACACACTCACACAGGCCATTACCTCTGGCATCTCCATGTATCTGAGGGTCCCTCACCTCAAAGCTCGCAATTCTGCTATTAACTGTCAAATAGGTCCTCAGACCAGAGCCCTCTAATGACACAGGTGTAAATAGGTTGTGGGATCAGTACGGTTGCTAAAGTCCGGGAACTTTAAATAAATTCCCTATTTTTCCAGAAATCCTGGTTGGAGAATTCTCGATTTCCTACTTATTCCTTCCTGATTCTAGGAATCCTCCAACCAAGATTTTGGGAAACGAGGGAATTTAATTAAATAGGTTGTTGCCTTTCACAGACTCACTCCCTACCCCTCTAAATAGGTTGTAGGATCAACCTTTCACAGACTTACTCCCTACTCCCTCTAAATAGGTTGTAGGATCAGCCTTTCACAGACTCACTCACTTGCTCCTGGTTCGCCGTTGATAATGGCAGTCCCTGGCCGTGACACCACTCTCCGAGGTTGTATCAGAGGAGTTGGGATATGCAAAAAACACACTTCCAATTCACACATGCGTATTAATACACACTTGTATGTATGTGAAATAGGACAAATATAAGCACCAAATATATTATGTTAGTGAAAATTGCTATGCATGTTTCGTTGCAATTCTTTTTATTTTCATGTTTGTGTTGATAGTATAAAGCTATGAATGTTGTAGAATAAACACTTCGCAATCATTATTGAAACATCATTAACATTTGTGCACACACACAGTTGTGTGTGCGTAAACACACAGATACACTCACTCAAATGCGTGTGCACACACACCGTCTCATGCACACTCATACGTATGCACCTTCGCCTTCAAACACATGTGTATCTGCTCTTTCATCTATACACACACATACACACACACTCTCACTCTCACTCACACACACCCTAACAAACAATAGAAAATAACTGCCTTGTGCTACCAGCATTTTGCATTGTGTGTTTTTTCTATGTATTAAAGGGAGTTAAAATGGTCCGCTCAGCGTTCTCCATTCATGGCCCACTGCCCAGTGACGGCTCTGGACTGGTCAGCGCGATGCTCCAGCGTTGGAGCTCAATAACCCCCGTTTCCCCTTTCCCCCGCCACAGTCCTACTCTGTCCCTCCCTTTTTCCCCAGCCCCATACATGGATTGTTCAGGGCTTTGGCTGCTAGCGGGCAACCCTGCCTCCTGCCTCTCACCCCTCATGCCTGGCCCACATACACCCTCATACACAATACAAACCTCTGCCTAATAAAGTATCCACTGAGCAGCCCAGCACCTCCTAGAACACTGGCCCAGAATGAGCGAGAGAGTGAGAGAGAGAGTGAGAGAGAGAGAGAGCGAGAGCGAGAGAGGTGTCTAAATTATATACTGTTTTGGCAGGGCTGCCCCTTACGTTGCTGATATTTGTAGTTCACAACTTAAACATTTATTTAGTTAAGTTTTGAAATGTATTTGTTTTCCACCACTTTGCAGCAGTAGTCAACGTTTATATGTAAATATGCATGCCTCTGTACTGTGCTTTGGGTGTCAATGTCAAGTTCATTGCCTTAAAGAAGTGCCCTACACTTGTATGTTATGCAGACATCTAAGGTCCCCATGTCATGCGCCCAGCTTCAATGTTTTGCTCATAGCCCTTAAGTAGTGCTTATAACCACTTATGTATGCTTAATACCTCTGTCAATAACACTGTTGGGATTTGAGGTCAGTGAATAAATGCACTGCTGAGTGTGAGTGCAGTACCTCTGCCCAGTGGATATTACAGACCAGACCGACATATAGAAATGATAATAATCTAGAGCTGATAATGTAAATAATTTATGTTTGCACAAAACATGTCAGTTGTGAATGATAACTACAAACATGTTTCTAAAAACCAAGCAGTTCCACTGTTCACATGTGGCACACATGCTCGATGCTAAGACAATAGTTTCACAATGTCAGGCATTTCTATGCACGAGTCAATTCCGCACACTGTTGGCTTAAAGCTCTTCTGTCTAGGGCCCCCCTTGGATCACTGTGTTTGTGTGTGTGTGTGTGTGTGTGTGTGTTCGCCGCCATCAGCACTTGTTCCCATGGTTATCATGGTTATGATGTGTCAACAGATAACATACAGTGCATATGGCACTATGAGACTAGACAAACTCCTCTCATCACTTCTGTGGGGTTGATATTCATCCCTAGTTCTTATACTCACCCAGTCACTTGCTCTTTCTTGATTCCCTCCTCCCTCTCGTGTCACTCTCACCCTTTTCTCTTCCTCTCTCTTCTGTTGTGGTGGGCAACAAAGGGGTTAAGTGTATTTGATTTGGACCATCCTGTGTGTCCGCCCCCTTGGATTATGGCGTCACTTGGGGCCCCTGGGGGGGGGGGTTATAAAGCCCCCGGTGGGCCCTCTCCCCTCCGTCAGAGGCTAAAACGTCCACAGGACACTCTGTCTATCCCTGTCTCTACTCTAGAACCACTCATCTAGCATCAATGCACATCTCCTCTTGACAACTATTCTGAGACACACACACACCTATGTCGCTACAACAGGCGGCCAGTGGAGGCAAGCTAGCACAGCTGAGTTGATGTTTGACTGCCTTCGCGCCAACTCCAGATCGTCCGTAGCTTAGAGCTAGATCTGTCTGGTGGATTCCTCTGTGAACTTTTTTGACTGTTTGTCTTCCAACTGATTGGCTAAGTAAGACAGCGTTTGGGTCAGCCCAGCTAGGTGACCTCCAAAGGGATTTTTAAAAAATATTTCCTTTACAGTGCAAAACAAGTAACTTTTCAAAAGGTACACGCTTACCTTTTCTAGATTCACCCTGACAACTTTTTTTTCTCCAAGAACGTTTTCTGGTACGAGGAGCGTCCAGTGAACAGCCAGCATGTGGGAGTTCCGGTCCATGACGTTTTGGCGGGCGGTCTTCGCCGAGTTCTTCGGGACCATGTTCTTTGTGTTTTTCGGCATGGGCGCCGCGCTGCGCTGGACAACCGGGCCTAACCACGTTTTGCATGTGGCGCTGTGCTTCGGCTTGGCGGCTGCCACCATGATCCAGTCCATCGGTCACATCAGTGGCGGCCACATTAACCCGGCCGTCACCTTCGCCTACCTGGTGGGTTCCCAGATGTCCCTGTTCCGCGCCTTTTTCTACTGGGCTGCCCAGGTCCTGGGGGCCGTGGCTGGGGCCGCCGTGCTCTATGGGGTCACCCCCAACAACATGAGGGGCAACATGGCTCTCAACACGGTAAGGCACCACCCACCCACCAAGTGCACATCTCAAATGGCACTGGGCCTATTCCCTTTATGGAGCATTATATGGGAACTAAGGGGACATTATTGACCCATATCAGCTCAAAGCAGAAAATAAATAAATTGGTAGGCTTCTTAATGTTAATGGAGATTTAGAATGGGTAGAGATGAACAGGGATTAGGGAATCATCATGGAACCTACTGGTAACTACAGTTTCTACGGTACAATGACCACAATCTCACTGAGGCCATAGTGGTGAGGCCCCTGAATGTTTTACAGTTTGAGTCGATATGTGTTGCATCATTGATTGATTCATTGCTGTCATGTCCTGTTACAGGCCTTTAAAACCGAATTGCAAAGCCACAACTAATTGTACAAATAATATACACTTTACTAGAAAGAGGACACACTTATTTTACAAAGTAAGTTGTTCACAAAGGACCTCAAGTCTGATGCATTTTTTCTCCTCTGGCCGTCTACAGCTGCAGCCTGGTATCAGCCTGGGCATGGGCACCACAGTGGAGGTGTTCCTGACCATGCAGCTGGTGATATGTATCTTTGCCGTGACAGATGAGAGGAGGAACGGACGCATGGGCTCTGCTGCCCTGTCCATCGGCTTCGCTGTCACCATCGGACACCTCGTGGGGGTGAGCAACACAACACACACTTACACACACTGGTAGGAGAAAACACACGCAATGCCCAAAACACTTCTACCCTAATAGTGGAACACACACAAAAACAGACTTGCATTGTGTACAACAGAAACAGACTGTATTCTGAACGCCCTGTTATCCTTCTCTGCTGTAGATGTACTACACCGGTGCTGGAATGAACCCTGCTAGGTCTTTCGCCCCCGCTGTACTCTTCAGGAACTTTGTAAACCACTGGGTAAGAAACACACAGTCATACATCATATAACGTAGAATTTGAAATACTTTTTACAAATATCTAATAATCGAATCACAATGGCGGATTCATAATGTAGCTAATACCAACCTCTATCAGTGACAACATTACAAGTTGCTTGTGCCATATCTTCATGATAACCTTTGTGTGTGTGTGTGTGTGTTGTTTCAGGTGTACTGGGTGGGTCCCATGATAGGAGGTGCTATGGGAGCTCTTCTGTACGATTTCATGCTGTTCCCCCGTATGCGCGGTCTGTCTGAGCGCCTGGCCACACTGAAGGGCAGCCAACCACCCGAGACGGAGACCCAGCAGGACACCCGCGGGGAGCCAATCGAGCTCAAGACGCAAGCCCTATAAACCTGCCCATGTCTGGGGACAAGGGACGAGGGACAGGCCCTGTGTCCGCCAACCCCCACACTGCCCCCATCCCATCCCATGAACAAGTATACAGTCACTCTCACTGACTCACTAACTAACACACAGGCACATGCAGATTCAGACATATATTGATGCGCAAACTGTACTCACACACAGACACAGACAGGTTCACAACCTTCAACCTCAACATTCAACGAGACTCCTCTCCCTCCAACCTCACTCAGTATCCTGAACTGGACATGATGTTTGATAGAGGTGACCAGTGCCTGCTCCAACAGTCCCACTACCTCCCCTCTCCTCCCCTCTTCTCCCCTCTCCTCCTCCTCCTCCACACCAAGTCTTCCCCTCACACACAGACTGAAGGACCTGACCTGTCAGCACAGAAGCATGTGAACCCTGTGTCTAGGGAAACTAGGAGAGGGGGATGCAGGTGGGGGGTGAGGGCAGGGTGAGGAGGAGGTATAGGTGGGTATGTAAGTATGGGTGGGGTAAGAGGTAAGGGTATAGGATAGAGGGTTGGGGTTTTGGGTGTAGATTGGGTAAAGGGGTTGGGGTGAGGATAGAGGGGCAACACTCCAGGTTTTTAGTTGTATAGAGTTGAGTTAGACCAATGAAGATGGGCATGCGTTTTCATTATTTATCAGATTTTATCTGTACATTTTTTCAGGTTCATTTTGTTTTCTGCACTTCAGACACAAGACATGGATGTATGATACCATTTGATTTTACCAGGGTTTAATTTTTCAAATCACTTCATTTCATCTGTGTGTGTGTGAGTGTGGGTGCTTCTACAGTATGTGTGTGAGTGAGTGAGTGAGTGAGTGAGTGAGTGAGTGAGTGAGTGAGTGCGTGCGTGCGTACATGTGCCTGTATGTGTGTGAGTGTGTTTGCCAGTGAGTGTATGTGTGTGAGTGTGTTTGCCAGTGAGTGTATGTGTGTGAGTGTGTTTGCCAGTGAGTGTATGTGTGTGAGTGTGTTTGCCAGTGAGTGTATGTGTGTGTGATCGAGTTCACAGATACAGTACTTTTTATTTATTTTGTTTTATTTTTATTACTCTTCTGTTTGTATAATTATTATTTTCATAGCGTTATCAGTTTTTAAGAGATTATCATTTTTCCTCCCCTCACTGTGGTATTTGCTATGATATTCATTTTTACACAAACCATCTGCTTTTGTGTTCAGAAAAAAAAAACACAATCCAAAGGAAATGTTGTGTCCCAGACTGGACTGATTCTGTTCACTGCTAAATGGCTGTGTAAGCTTTTCATTGAGTCTCCTTTTATGATTTGATCCTTAATGGGAGCACAAAGCTGTTTAAACCATATTTAAATTAAAATAAACACAAAAACTTGATACAAAATGTGTGCCATCATGTTTCGTTTACTCCATTATACTAGCATGGCAATCAGTGCGCTGCTTTGCTTATGTTGCATTGACTTGCAGTAAATGGGAATGACCACAAGGTGATACTACACATTTTCTGGCTGCTGAGTTGTCACACCATGAATGATAGAGGCCTCTCGTGGCAAAAGGCTGTTTTAGCATGGGCAGCTTCCACCATGCTTCCTCCATTTTAAAGTAGTCAACTGGGTGGGGATTCCTATGGGTTGTAGCCTCAATGGCGCTGCCCATGCTGTCACAGATGCTAGAATGGCACAGATAGAAAGATGAGTCCTCTATATATCTCTATTTATCTCTATGTGTCACACATAGCAGAACTACAGTAGACTTGATTGTCCGTGGCTCAACAACTCATGGGCAGGGTTCACCAGAACAATAAACAAATGTACCATGGTTCAGGTATGGGGTGTAGAAGATAGGGAAGGAGGGAGGGGGTGAGGAAATGGTTGAGGGAGGGGTAAGACAGTGGGGGGAGGGAAGAGGGAAAAGGGGAGAGGCCAGTCCCAGAGGGACACGTTTGAGTGATAAGAAACCTGGTGGGGAGCCAGTTTACAGAAACATAGAGGAGAGTGGTGTAAGTTGAGCCACCTTTGGTTCTAGGAAACCACACACAAAATTAATAATTTACCAAATATGTAGGAAGAGGTCATTTCATGGACTCTGTGAAGGAAGAAACCACATGGAAAAAGTGGTAAGCAAGTATTAGGTCCAAAAGATGGATTTTCACCAAGTCTAATGAATGCATTGTGTTAGAGGTTTCATGATGCTTGTATCTGAACCAAAGTAGATAATTTTAAGATTGTTCTGTACATCAGTTGGGGTCTCTATAAGCTTCAATATGAGGTCCTAAACCTAGCATGAAAGTGCATTATTGTAGCTGTGTGGGCTAATATAGTCAAAATGTTTGCCTTGGAGTAAGTTGAGCCAATGGCTATGGGGTAAGTTGAGTCCCCCTTATAGGGTATGGACTCTATAAGGTGTCAAAAGCGTTCCACAGGGATGCTAGCCCATGTTGACTTCAATGCTTCCCACAGTTGTATCAAGTTGGCTGGATGTCCTTTGGGTGGTGGACCATTCTTGATACACACAAGAAACTGTTGAGCGTGAAAAACCCAGCAGCGTTGCAGTTCTTCACATAAACTGGTACACCTGGCACCTACTACCATACCCCATTCAAAGGCACTTCAATCTTTTGTTTTGCCCATTCACCCTCTGAATGGCACACATACACAATCCATGTCTCAATTGTCTCAAGGCTTCAAAACCCTTCTTTAACCTGTCTCCTCCCTTTCATCTACACTGATGGAAGTGGATTTAACAAGTGACACCAATAAGGGATCATAGCTTTCACCTGGTCAGTCTATGTCATGGAAAGAGCAGGTGTTCATAATGTGTTGTATACTCAGTGTATATGTAGATACAGTTGAAGTCAGAAGTTTACATACACCTTAGCAAAATACATTTAAACTCAGTTTTTCACAATTCCTGACATTTAATCCTAGTAAACATTCCCTGTCTTTCGTCAGTTAGGATCACCACTTTATTTTAAGAATGTGAAATGTCAGAATAATAGTAGAGAGAATGATTTATTTCAGCTTTTATTTCTTTCATCACATTCCCAGTGGGTCAGACGTTTACATACACTCAATTAGTATTTGGTAGCATTGCCTTTAAATTGTTTAACTTGGGTCAAACGTTTCGGGTAGCCTTCCACAAGCTTCCCACAATAAGTTGGGTGAATTTTGGCCCATTCCACCTGACAGAGCTGATGTACCTGAGTCAGGTTTGTAGGCCTCCTTGCTCGCACACGCTTTTTCAGTTTTGCCCACACATTTTCTATAGGATTGAAGTCAGGGCTTTGTGATGGCCACTCCAATACCTTGACTTTGTTGTCCTTAAGCCATTTTTCCACAACTTTGAAAGTATGCTTGGGGTCATTGTCCATTTGAAAGACCCATGTGCAGTTGCAAACCGTAGTCTGGCTTTTTTATGGCAGTTTTGAAGCAGTGGCTTCTTCCTTGCTGAGCAGCCTTTCAGGTTATGTCGATATAGGACTTGTTTTACTGTGGATATAGATACTTTTGTACCTGTTTCCTCCAGCATCTTCACAAGGTCCTTTGCTGTTGTTCTGGGATTGATTTGCACTTTTTGCACCAAAGTACGTTCATCTCTAGGAGACAGAACCTGTCTCCTTCCTGAGCGGTATGACGGCTGCGTGGTCCCATGGTGTTTATACTTGCATACTATTGTTTGTACAGATGAACGTGGTACCTTCAGGCGTTTGGAAATTGCTCCCAAGGATGAACCAGACTTGTGGAGGTCAAAAAATGTTTTTCTAAGGTCTTGGCTGATTTCTTTTGATTTTCCCATGATGTCAAGCAAAGAGGCACTGAGTTTGAACGTAGGCCTTGAAATACATCCACAGGTACACCTCCAATTGACTCAAATGATGTCAATTAGCCTATCAGAAGCTTCTAAAGCCATGACATCATTTTCTGGAATTTTCCAAGCTATTTAAAGACACAGTCAACTTAGTGTATGTAAACTTCTGACCCACTGGAATTGTGATACAGTGAATTATAAGTGAAATAATCTGTCTGTAAACAATTGTTGGACAAATTACTTGTGTCATGCACAAAGTAGATGTTCTAACTGACTTGCCAAAACTATAGTTTGTTAACAAGACATTTGTGGAGTGGTTGAAAAACGAGTTTTAATGAATCCAACCTAAGTGTATGTAAACTTCCGACTTCAACTGTATCTTTGTTAGAAATAATACTATATTTCCCTTGACGGAGTGATGCTGAATGTAAAAAATGGCTCATCTTACCCCACTCTCCTCTACTTCTCTTTCTGTCTCTGCTCTCTTTCTTTCTACGTTCCGTTCCTGCTCTTTATTTCTACACTAATGTTCCCAAATGCTGCTCTAAGCTTAAATTCTCCCTTTTCTCATGCTTTCTCTCTCTCTCTCTCTTACTGTATGTTTTCCCTTCCCTTTCTCTCTGTATTCTATGAAGGGGCTAACCATAAACATATCCAGATCACACTGAGAATACAACAATAGCACCATGGTTTCCTATAGGGACACACAGGAGTGAGCGATTGCTTTAGCGCCTGCCGGCTACAGTTTCTCTGCGTCACTGAAGGGTTTCTATGGATATTAAAGAGTACATTCATTCTCTGCTGTACCAACCAGAACATCATCAGTAGGTGCATCTTGGTTGTCTAAAGTGCCTTCCTTTCCCGGTCTCCTCTCCTTCATCAGCACTGATCTAAAACACAGAGAAAACAATATGGTGGTATGTGTTTATTTTAGCCAGTGCTGTGTCCCTATACAATGGAGACATTTTGCAATCTGGGCTTGTTTTCAGTGACTTATAGCATGTCTGGGTGCATGTGTACATACATGTGTGTGTGTGATGATGACTAAGTATGGGCATTAGACTGCTCCAGTTTACTCTGTTCCAGCTCTCACCAGACTCCGGCATCTGTGTGCTGGAGTAGGGAGGGTCAAGGCTATGGGTGTTTTCCCAAAGTTAGATATAACTGAATTACTGTTTATTTGGTTGAATAAAGGGAAGAATGAAATGAGTTGTAGAAATTAAGTCTACTGTAACTGTGTGTAATCCAAGTGTTTATCTCTCTTTATTGAATAATATTTTCTGGAAATGGCTTCTTAAAAACAGAGACTTCCACCACACACACACACTCCCAATACAGATGTCCTGCACGGATGGTAATGGTAGGCCACCTAAACACTCCAGACCTCCAGTGTCCACACACACTCGCACATACTGTACACATCATCATCTGAATGAATGTACCAGAACATGCAGACCAACACTTATACACGTCATGCCATTTTGGTTTGCAAAAAACAATCATGTCACTTTGTGTAATAACATATTTTTTTTTATTATACATATTTCTCGTGGTTGTATGGCTTCATTGTACATGTAAATAAGGTGGTACTGCACAGAGACTCCTGGAGCAGCTCGGTACCCTAAACTGCAGCTGGCCCAGAGACAATGGCAGAACACTGACTATCACAATGGCTTACAATGGGGGCCGGGGGCTGACACCGAGGCTAACAAAAACACACACGACTCTTACACTGACATGCACTCACTGACTCACACACAGACAACTACTGTATCACACACATATACATACATACATACATATATATATATATATATGCCATTTAGCTGATGCTTTTATCCAAAGCGACTTAGTCATGCGTGCATACATTTTACGTATACACACACACATACACACTGTATGAGTATAGCCCATAGCATCAGTCAGTCAAGCATGGACATGAAGGTTCTAGCAGAGATCAACTCACTTTACCTGATGGACAACTCTTCGATTGTTATAACATTACTATTCCAATACCAAATAGTACATCCTCCATTCAGCCTCCATTAGCCTGTAGTTTCTTCCTCTGCTTACTTTAAACAATACTGAGATAGTCAGTTACCCCAGCTGCTGCAGGTCTCTAATGATGATAAACATGAATATGGAAATACCTTCTTTACACAATTCTGCCTTGACATGATTATGTTAGAGTAACAATGATATAAAAAGCATATGTTACAGTGTTGTCTACCTTATACATATTCATCCCATACTCCATTAGAATAATAATTGCATATTTAGTGAAAGTGTGATTCTCAATCTGCAATAATTTACTTGCAATCATGGAGGACATGGAAAATGGAAAGAGAGCCGATGGACAGACGGCCAGACAAACAATCTGACAGACAGACTGAAATGTAAAGAATAGATAGAACGTAGAGAGAGGTTATAAGGCCACGTAGAGAAAGGTATTCCCGAAGAACGTCCAGAAGAGGATGCTGCCTCTCTCACCTCGCTAGTGAAACGTTCAGTACTACTTCTAGAAGAGTGAGGCGGAGCATCTAGTTAAATATAATGGCTACCCAACCCATCTTCGCCCAACCTTCAGAATCATTAATTCCCCTCTTTCAGTTCTCATGTTCCATTGACTCCATCATGTTTGGCATTGGACACAGGGAGAGCTCTTACTTCCATCATTAGCTAAAAACATTCATATAAACGTTGGCGACAGCAGCAATAGTAGCATAGTAACAACTAAGAAAACAATAATGGATAATAACTCTAATAGAAAAACAGGACGACGTCCCAGTGTGTTTTGTTCTGTTTTCACAAAGCCCTTTGGATTCTGACCCCACTCTCTCATCGGTTGTCAGGAGTCTCGTACTGATGATGTCACAGGTCAGAGCTCAATAAGCATCCTGTTCCAAGTCTCCATACATGTTGTCATCAGTGCCCCTCTTCGGTCACCCTCACCCCACATCACCACACCTCCCTCTCCCAGGCCCGACCTCACTGCATGTGGTCAGGCTGGTGGAGGGTGTATTGGAGGCAGGCAGCAGGGGGGACAGAGAGGCCAGCAAAAGTGTTGAGGGAGGGGTGGATGGGCGTGGGTGGGGTAAGGGGGGCGGAAATGGTGGGACCAGGTGTGGCGGGGGAGTAGTGGTAGCTGAGGTATCTAGCGGAGGGGGAGGGGGTGTAGGGGACATAGGCTGAGCTGTAATCCAGATATGGGGAAGTGAGGGAGGCCTGAGAGGGGCTGAGATGGGACTGGAGCACCAGGCTGGGCTGGAGGAAGGCCTGGGGGTACATATACTGCTGGGCCAATCTGAAGAGACAGACGGACAGAAAGATAGTAATACATTAGTGTTTATAATACAGTTATACATTAGTGTACACACACACACACACACACACACACACACACACACACACACACACACACACACAAGCACATAAGGCTCAGCCATCGTGGAGAAAGAGGCATACGCAAACAGACAGTTTATTTACAGTATCTGTGGATTATATACCACACCACTGTAATTACAGGGGACATACAGTACTATTGTTTACCCACATTTCACATGGGCCTAAGGCCACAAATAAGGACAGACGAACCTACTGTGTAGGAGAGTTATACACACATCCACAATATCCCTCACCACCATTTCAAAACGCTCAAGAGAGGACAGAATCCCCTTTCCCCCCCCTCATAATTATCACCACCACTGCAAACACTTGAAATAGTACACATTCTGAGTCCCTGGTGTACAATGAATTATCATAGCCATGAGAGAATGTCAAAAACACTCACAGTACACATGATAGTACGCCCACCCACACCCACAGTATCCCACCCACAGTATCCCACCCACAGTAACCCACCCACAGTATCCCACCCACAGTATCCCACATACAGTATCCCACACACAGTATCCCACCCACAGTACCCCACCCACAGTATCCCACATACAGTATCCCACCCACAGTTTCCCACCCACAGTTTCCCACCCACAGTTTCCCACACACAGTTTCCCACACACAGTATCCCACACACAGTTTCCCACACACAGTATCCCACACACAGTTTCCCACACACAGTATCCCACACACAGTATCCCACACACAGTTTCCCACACACAGTTTCCCACACACAGTTTCCCACACACAGTATCCCACACACAGTATCCCACACACAGTATCCCACACACAGTATCCCACACACAGTATCCCACACACAGTATCCCACACACAGTATCCCACACACAGTATCCCACACACAGTTTCCCACACACAGTATCACACACAGTATCCCACACACAGTATCCCACACACAGTATCCCACACACAGTATCCCACACACAGTATCCCACACACAGTATCCCACACACAGTTTCCCACACACAGTATCCCACACACAGTTTCCCACACACAGTATCCCACACACAGTATCCCACACACAGTTTCCCACACACAGTTTCCCACACACAGTATCCCACATACATTATCCCACACACAGTTTCCCACACACAGTATCCCACACACAGTATCCCACTAACCAGGGTTGGTCCTGGTTGGTCCCTGGATGGGAGACCAGATGCTGCTGGAAGTGGTGTTGGAGGGCTAGTAGGAGGGTGTCGTCTTTCGGATGGGACGTTAAACGGGTGTCCTGACTCTCTGTGGTCACTAAAGATCCCATGACACTTATCGTAAGAGTAGGGGTGTTAACCCCGGTGTCCTGGCTAAATTCCCAATCTGGCCCTGATACCATCTTGGCCACCTATTCATCCCCAGCTTCCAATTGGCTCATTCATCCCTCCTCCTCTCCCCTGTAACTATTCCCCAGGTCGTTGCTGTAAATGAGAATGTGTTCTCAGTCAATTTACCTGGTAAAATAAAGGTAAAAAAAAAAATGTACACATGATAGCACACACTACAGCATCAGTAGGATTCTGAGCCATTGTAATTAAAGGGTACATACAATACTGTTGTCTACCCACAATTCACCTTGCCTTAGGCTGCCCACTTATAAACCTAACCTGCTTCAGTTCCACTGACAGCTGCAAAAATAGATCAGAACTGTTGCGCAAGAAGTGACAGAACAATAGGAGGTGGTCTATATCCAACATTTGTAATAATAACTGTCGCTGGATCAGCTTGGCCTGTCCAAATCCATGACCTTATTCTTTCTTTACCCAATAATAACCTAATGGCTGAGACTGTCTCCAGATCAGCAGTTAGGAGAGGTAATGAGGGCTCAGAGCTGCTTACACCAAAACACAGAGGGAGAAACAAACAGAGTCTAACGCACACACTACTGACAAAGGACCAAAGAACAACTGCCCCACACACTGGAAACACAAGTCTCCTCTGTCTGTCTGTGTTGTGCTGTGTTGAGCTGCTGGCATGTTCTGCCCTGTGCATCAGGCTGATGGATCGAATGTGACAGTGGCATCGTATGAGGGAGCTACGCCTCCCCTCGTCTCACGTCCTCAGTGGCAGACTAACACACACACACACTGAGATAGCCTCCCTCTGTCTGCCTGCCTCCCTCTGTCTGCCTGCCTCCCTCTGTCTGCCTGCCTCCCTTTGTCTGCCTGCCTCCCTCTGTCTGCCTGCCTCCCTCTGTCTGCCTGCCTCCCTCTGTCTGCCTGCCTCCCTCTGTCTGCCTGCCTCCCTCTGTCTGCCTGCCTCCCTCTGTCTGCCTGCCTGCCTCCCTCTGTCTGCCTGCCTGCCTCCCTCTGTCTGCCTGCCTGCCTGCCTCCCTTTGTCTGCCTGCCTGCCTGCCTCCCTTTGTCTGCCTGCCTGCCTGCCTCCCTCTGTCTGCCTGCCTGCCTGCCTCCCTCTGTCTGCCTGCCTCCCTCTGTCCGCCTCCCTCTGTCCGCCTCCCTCTGTCCGCCTCCCTCTGTCCGCCTCCCTCTGTCCGCCTCCCTCTGTCTCTTTCTCTCTTGTTGTTTCTGACTGAACTTGTTGTGCTACCTTACACACACACACACACACACACACCGAATCATGAAGTGGCATACACAAATGTGCAGTAAAAACAAAACACACACCTACAGTAGACAATGCACAACAATGTACACAAATATACACGTACAGTACACAAAGAAACCTATACACATAACCACACACATACACATACAGTACACACAGAAACCTATACACATAACCAAACACATACACATACAGTACACACAGAAACCTATACACATAACCACACACATACAAGTACACGTACAGTACACACAGAAACCTATACCCATAACCACACACATACACGTACAGTACACACAGAAACCTATACACATAACCACACACATACAGGTGCAGGAGAGAGAGAGGGCAGCAAGACAGGATTGATTGGTGCAGCAGGCAGCGTGGGTATGCAGTACACTCACTAACAGACCCGTGAGAGCAGAAGAACCTCACTGAGCTCTCCTCTTCCTCGCTACACTCCCTCACTAGTCGCTTCCTCTCTCCTACTGTCCATTTCAACTAAGCCAAGGCTGCAGTGAGTGGGAGAGAGAGAGAGAGAGAGAGAGAGAGAGAGAGAGAGAGAGAGAGAGAGAGAGAGAGAGAGAGAGAGAGAGAGAGAGAGAGAGGGGGAAGGATGGAGAGATAGCAAGAAGAGGTGAAGGATCACCCACCATATCTATCATGCCTTAGGATGCTGCAGCTTTTAATAGTTCTGGTGACACAAAAGGTCATGTGTTGGGAGGTGGGAGTCAGCGGGGGGAGCGAGAGAGAGAGAGAGAGAGAGAGACAGAGGCCGGCAGCAGTGAATGACTGACACGGCATTGAACACTCAGCTTTCGAGCAGTGCTTGCTTTGGCATAGTATTAGCCAACTAAGATGCCCCTGTATACTGTATGTAAAGAGTTCCATCAAGCACACATAATACAGTGGGGAAAAAAAGTATTTAGTCAGCCACTAATTGTGCAAGTTCTCCCACTTAAAAAGATGAGAGAGGCCTGTAATTTTCATCATAGGTACACGTCAACATTGACAGACAAAATTAGATTTTTTTTTCCAGAAAATCATATTGTAGGATTTTTAATGAATTTATTTGCAAATTATGGTGGAAAATAAGTATTTGGTCAATAACAAAAGTTTCTCAATACTTTGTTACATACCCTTTGTTGGCAATGACACAGGTCAAATGTTTTCTGTAAGTCTTCACAAGGTTTTCACACACTGTTGCTGGTATTTTGGCCCATTCCTCCATGCAGATCTCCTCTAGAGCAGTGATGTTTTGGGGCTGTCGCTGGGCAACACAGACTTTCAACTCCCTCCAAAGATTTTCTATGGGGTTGAGATCTGGAGACTGGCTAGGCCACTCCAGGACCTTGAAATGCTTCTTACGAAGCCACTCCTTCGTTGCCCGGGCGGTGTGTTTGGGGATCATTGTCATGCTGAAAGACCCAGCCACGTTTCATCTTCAATGCCCTTGCTGATGGAAGGAGGTTTTCACTCAAAATCTCACGATACATGGCCCCATTCATTCTTTCCTTTACACGGATCAGTCGTCCTGGTCCCTTTGCAGAAAAACAGCCCCAAAGCATGATGTTTCCACCCCCATGCTTCACAGTAGGTATGGTGTTCTTTGGATGCAACTCAGCATTCTTTGTCCTCCAAACACGACGAGTTGAGTTTTTACCTAAAAGTTCTATTTTGGTTTCATCTGACCATATGACATTCTCCCAATCCTCTTCTGGATCATCCAAATGCACTCTAGCAAACTTCAGACGGGCCTGGACATGTACTGGCTTAAGCAGGGGGACACGTCTGGCACTGCAGGATTTGAGTCCCTGGCGGCGTAGTGTGTTACTGATGGTAGGCTTTGTTACTTTAGTCCCAGCTCTCTGCAGGTCATTCACTAGGTCCCCCCGTGTGGTTCTGGGATTTTTGCTCACCATTCTTGTGATCATTTTGACCCCACGGGGTGAGATCTTGCGTGGAGCCCCAGATCGAGGGAGATTTTCAGTGGTCTTGTATGTCTTCCATTTCCTAATAATTGCTCCCACAGTTGATTTCTTCAAACCAAGCTGCTTACCTATTGCAGATTCAGTCTTCCCAGCCTGGTGCAGGTCTACAATTTTGTTTCTGGTGTCCTTTGACAGCTCTTTGGTCTTGGCCATAGTGGAGTTTGGAGTGTGACTGTTTGAGGTTGTGGACAGGTGTCTTTTATACTGATAACAAGTTCAAACAGGTGCCATTAATACAGGTAACGAGTGGAGGACAGAGGAGCCTCTTAAAGAAGAAGTTACAGGTCTGTGAGAGCCAGAAATCTTGCTTGTTTGTAGGTGACCAAATACTTATTTTCCACCATAATTTGCAAATAAATTCATAAAAAATCCTACAATGTGATTTTCTGGATTTTTTTCCCTCATTTTTTCTGTCATAGTTGACGTGTACCTATGATGAAAATTACAGGCCTCTCTCATCTTTTTAAGTGGGAGAACTTGCACAATTGGTGGCTGACTAAATACTTTTTTCCCCCACTGTATGTACATCAGCCTTTAAATTCTACAACCACCTAAAAGGAAGCGATTCCCAAACCTTCAATAACAAAGCCATAACCTACAGAGAAATGAACCTGGAGAAGAGCCCCCTAAGCAAGCTGGTCCTGATGCTCTGTTCACAAACACAAACAGACCCCACAGAGCCCCAGGACAGCAACACAATTAGACCCAACCAAATCATGAGAAAACAAAAAGATAATTACTTGACACATTGGAAATAATTTTTAAAAAAATGCGCAAACTACAATGCTATTTGGCCCTAAACAGAGAGTACACAGTGGCAGAATACCTGACAACTGTGACTGACCCAAAATTAAGGAAATCTTTGACTATGTACAGATCCAGTGAGCATAGCCAACTCTCTCTCCTCTGCTCTTGTCCTTCTAGACCTGTCTGCTGCCTTTGATACTGTGAACCATCAGATCCTCCTCTCCACCCTCTCCGAGCTGGGCATCTCCGGCGCGGCTCACTCTTGGATTGCGTCCTACCTGACCGGTCGCTCCTACCAAGTGGCGTGGCGAGAAGCTGTCTCCGCACCACGTGCTCTCACCACTGGTGTCCCCCAGGGCTCAGTTCTAGGCCCTCTCCTATTCTCGCTATACACCAAGTCACTTGGCTCTGTCATATCCTCACATGGCCTCTCCTATCATTGCTACGCTGACGACACACAACTAATCTTCTCCTTTCCCCCTTCTGATAACCAGGTGGCGAATTGCATCTCTGCATGTCTGGCAGACATATCAGTATGGATGACGGATCACCACCTCAAGCTGAACCTTGGCAAGACGGAGCTGCTCTTCCTCCCGGGGAAGGACTGCCTGTTCCATGATCTCGCCATCACGGTTGACAACTCCGTTGTGTCCTCCTCCCAGAGTGCTAAGAGCCTTGGCGTGACCCTGGACAACACCCTGTCGTTCTCTGCTAACATCAAGGCGGTGACCCGATCCTGTAGGTTCATGCTCTACAACATTCGGAGAGTACGACCCTGCCTTACACAGGAAGCGGCACAGGTCCTAATCCAGGCACTTGTCATCTCCCGTCTGGATTACTGCAACTCGCTGTTGGCTGGGCTCCCTGCCTGTGCCATTAAACCCCTACAACTCATCCAGAATGCCGCAGCCCGTCTGGTGTTCAACCTTCCCAAGTTCTCTCACGTCACCCCGCTCCTCCGCACACTCCACTGGCTTCCAGTTGAAGCTCGCATCTGCTACAAGACCATGGTGCTTGCCTACGGAGCTGTGAGGGGAACGGCACCTCCGTACCTTCAGGCTCTGATCAGTCCCTACACCCAAACGAGGGCATTGCGTTCATCCACCTCTGGCCTGCTGGCTCCCCTACCTCTGCGGAAGCATAGTTCCCGCCCAGCCCAGTCAAAACTGTTCGCTGCTCTGGCACCCCAATGGTGGAACAAGCTCCCTCACGACGCCAGGACAGCGGAGTCACTCACCACCTTCCGGAGACATTTGAAACCCCACCTCTTTAAGGAATACCTGGGATAGGATAAAGTAATCCTTCTACCCCCCCCCCCCCTTACCCCAACCCAAAAACAATTTTTTTTAAATAAAAATAAAAAATAAAAAAACATTGTAAAGTGGTGATCCCACTGGCTATAAGGTGAATGCACCTATTTGTAAGTCGCTCTGGATAAGAGCGTCTGCTAAATGACGTAAATGTAAATGTAAATGTATTGAGAAAGGCTGCCGAAGGCAGACCTGGCTCTCAAGAGAAGACAGGCTATGTGCACACAGCTCACAAAATTAGGTGGAAACTGAGCTGCACTTCCTAACTTCCTCCCAAATGTATGACCATATTAGAGACACATATGTCCCTCAGATTACAAAGACCCACAATCCAATTTTGATAAACTCCCATTTCTATTGGGTGAAATACCACAGTGTGCAATCACAGCAGCAATATTCGTGACCTGTTGCCACAAGAAAAGGGCAACCAGTGAAGAACAAACACCATTGTAAATACAACCTATATTTCTGTTTATTTATTTTCCCTTTTGTACTTTAACTATTTGCACATCATTACAACACTGTATATAGACATAATATGACACTTTAAATGTATTTATTATTTTGGAACTTTTGTGAGTGTAATGTTTACTGTAAATGTTTTATTATTTATTTCACTTGCTTTGGCAATGTAAACATATGTTTCCCATGTCAATAAAGCCCCTTAAATTGAAATTGAATTGAAATTGAGACAGAAAGAGCAAGAAAGAGAAAGGAAGGAAGGAAAAGCTAAGGGAACGAGGAGACTGCAAAAAAGATAAAGGAGGGAGGGGGGAGAGAGAGAAAGAGTTTGGGAGGATGATAGGATGTTTACCAGCGAGGCTCAGTTTGAGTCATTCTAACACTGCCACTGCAGCAAAGGACAACTCTACTTACAATGCACACACACCCATCCACCCACCAGCCCTCACATCCTGTCCTGTCTGTCCCCCCCCACAGGTGTGTGTGCAGTGACTGAGCCCCTAATACCCCCCCCCCCCAACTCCCCTCCTCCAACCCCACCCTATCTCTGTGTTTCAACAGGAAACACACCTCAGTCCTTCAAACACCACACCACACCTGCCCGGCCACCTCCTTCAAAAAAAGAACAGAATTTGAATTAAGTGCCTTAATCTCACTTCTCTGTCAGCGCCCTGCCAGCTAGCTGGAACAGATGGTGCCTCAGGGGTCCTAGAGACAGAGAGGGTCCTAGAGACAGAGAGGGTCCTAGAGACAGATAGGGTCCTAGAGACAGAGAGGGTCCTAGAGACAGAGAGGGTCCTAGAGACAGAGAGGGTCCTAAAGACAGAGAGGGTCCTAGAGACAGAGAGGGTCCTAGAGACAGAGAGGGTCCTAGAGACAGAGAGGGTCCTAGAGACAGAGAGGGTCCTAAAGACAGAGAGGGTCCTAAAGACAGAGAGGGTCCTAGAGATAAGAAGGAGGAACTCCCCACAGGAGGAGTCTGACAGTATTAGCTCTGAGATAATGGTGCTTACTTACTGACAAAAGTTTGGGTGTGTTTTTGGGGCATTGGTGTTTTGACAGGGTAGTCAAGGCTTCATGAATATTGATGAATCTCCATTTTTTTTAACATTTTTGTCATTTTATCAGATGCTCTTATCCAGAGCGACACAGTAGTAAGTGCATACAGTGCCTTGCAAAAGTATTCATCCCCCTTGGCGTTTTTCCTATTTTGTTGCATTAAAACCTGTAATTTCAATCGATTTTTATTTGGATTTCATGTAATGGACATACACAAAATAGTCCAAATTGGTGAAGTGAAATGAAAAAAATAACTTATTTCAAAGAATTCTAAAAAATAAATAACGGAAAAGGGGTGCGTGCATATGTATTCACCCCCTTTGCAATGAAGCCCCTAAATAAGATCTGGTGCAACCAATTACCTTCAGAAGTCACATAATTAGTTAAATAAAGTCCACCTGTGTGAATTTAAGTGTCACATGATCTGTCACATGATCTCAGTATATATACACCTGTTCTGAAAGGCCCCAGAGTCTGCAACACCACTAAGCAAGGGGCACCACCAAGCAAGCGGCACCACGAAGACCAAGGAGCTCTCCAAACAGGTCAGGGACAAAGTTGTGGAGAAGTACAGATCAGGGTTGGGTTATAAAAAAATATCAGAAACTTTGAACATCCCACGGAGCACCATTAAATCCATTATTTAAAAATTGAAAGAATATGGCACCATAACAAACCTGCCAAGAGAGGGCCGCCCAGCAAAACTCATGGACCAGGCAAGGAGGGCATTAATCAGAGAGGCAACAAAGAGACCAAAGATAACCCTGAAGGAGCTGCAAAGCTCCACAGCGGAGATTGGAGTATCTGTCCATAGGACCACTTTAAGCCGTACACTCCACAGAGCTGGGCTTTACAGAAGAGTGGCCAGAAAAAAGCCATTGCTTAAAGAAAAAAATAAGCAAACACGTTTGGTGTTTGCCAAAACTCCCCAAACATATGGAAGAAGGTACTCTGGTCAGATGAGACTAAAATTGAGCTTTTTGGCCATCAAGGAAAACGCTATGTCTGGTGCAAACCCATCACCCCGAGAACACCATCCCCACAGTGTAGCATGGTGGTGGCAGCATCATGATGTGGGGATGTTTTTCATCGGCAAGGACTGGGAAACTGGTCAGAATTGAAGGAATGATGGATGGCACTAAATACAGGGAAATTCTTGAGGGAAACCTGTTTCAGTCTTCCAGAGATTTGAGACTGGGACGGAGGTTCACCTTCCAGCAGGATAATGACCCTAAGCATACTGCTAAAGTAACACTTGAGTGGTTTAAGGGAAACATTTAAATGTCTTGGAATGGCCTAGTCAAAGCCCAGACCTCAATCCAATTGAGAATCTGTGGTATGACTTAAAGATTGCTGTACACCAGCGGAACCCATCCAACTTGAAGGAGCTGGAGCAGTTTTGCCTTGAAGAATGGGCAAAAATCCCAGTGGCTAGATGTGCCAAGCTTATAGAGACATACCCCAAGAGACTTGCAGCTGTAATTGCTGCAAAAGGTGGCTCTACAAAGTATTGACTTTGGGGGGTGAATAGTTATGCACGCTCAAGTTCTTTTTTCTTTTCTTTTTTCTTGTTTGTTTCACAATAACAAATATTTTGCATCTTCAAAGTGGTAGGCATGTTGTGTAAATCAAATTATCCCCCTTGGGAATCGAACCCAGAACCCTGGCGGTACAAGTGCCATGCTCAACCAACTGAGCCACACAAGTGACACAAGTGAAAACTCTATCCCTAGTGACTTCCACAGAAGATGAAGAAAGAGCAAGTAATTTTCATTGTGGTGGCAGACAGACAGTGATATTATCATGATCAAACCCAGTAGAGGAGATGGAGAACTTGTGCTTTAATTGTACATTGGTTCTCTGAAGGAGACATTCAATCAGTCCGCCATCATTCATTCAGAGGCTCATCTGGGTCAGCCTCAATTCCCTTATCACTCAATATATCATTCAATAATTGAGGGCTGGCGGCTGCAATATTAATAGCCCTGTGAGGCGTGGGGGTTTGAAGGGCCTATCACAATCTCTGCTACTGCTCTAGTCTACAGAACACACAGCCCAACCAGACCGGCCTCACAGAATAGGAAATTGTAATTTAGCCTAATATAGTATAGCACTCATCAGAAGACATGGACAGCTCTGGTTATCTCACTTCTGACCAATTAGATGCCAGAGAAATGTTTTGTTTATGGGTTAAACAGAGTGAGTTAGCAGGCTTCCGTTCTGAAGTAGATCACTGCAATAACTTTGGTACTGAATATTCAGAACCAGACTGACACTGATCAGCATGAGAGTGAGTTGCTTGAAACAGGGTTTCAACAGGGTATATGTGTCAACAGTGCTCTTCCTCACACAAGAACAAACACACACACACACACATCCCATGCCACTGTACACCTATATATCACACCAAGACTCACAGGCTACCCCCCCCCCCCCTCTCTACTCAGCCTGTTTTCACAACACACTCATTCCCTGGAAGAAGTGTGTGTGTAGGGAGGAGTTGTAATGGTTTGACTAGCAGCTCATCGCCCTGTGTAGGTCAACCAAAGTAAGAATGGGACTTCTTACTAACTTAATGAGAGACACACAGAGAGAGAGAGAGAGAGAGAGAGAGAGAGAGAGAGAGAGAGAGAGAGAGAGAGAGAGAGAGAGAGAGAGAGAGAGAGAGAGAGAGAGAGAGAGAGAGAGAGAGAGAGAGAGAGAGAGAGAGAGAGAGAGAGATAGAGAGAGAGGAGAGAGTAGCGAGTAGAGAGAGCGAGAAGTATGAGCGAGAGAGCGAGAGAGAAGCCGTAGAGAGTATATCGATAGAATAGAGAAGAGATATATAGAAGAGAGATCAGCGAGATCTGATAGAAGAGAGAGTCTCGAGAGCTAGAGCTATAGATACTCGGTGACTGCAAAGCTCCTCTTTCTCGCGTCTCTGCGAGATACTAGAGCTAGATAAGAATATGAAGGAAAGATACAGAGGGAGGAGGGAGAGAAAGAGAGCCATAAGCAGGCTAAGAATATCCCAATGTCCAAATGCAGCCATGTTAGGAAACAACAGCAGGCCAGCCAGTTAAGTGAAGCAGGCAGGAATCAGGGTATTCTCACTGAGTTCTGTTCTCTTGTAACTGATGGTAGCACAGCTGGCTGAGGGAAGGGTCATTCTCAGACTGCATGAGAGAGACCATTGTATGAGAGAGACAGGATTTAAAACAAATTACAAATAAAAGAGAGCGAGGACCTTATTGGTAGAGCACAAACATACAGCACGTTGTTTGTTCCCATGAGAGAGACCATTGGGACTATCAGTTACAACATCAAAGGGATGAACACACAACTAAACAGACAGACAAAGATTAGCCTTGGAAGCCCAGGCATCTCACGTTAGACACAGATAGACAGATAGAAAGAGGGACAGACAGGTGACCAGAAGGAGAAAAAGACAACAGAAAAGACTGTGTGTATGGCATTGGTAACAGAGGAGATGGGAGGAAGCGATGAAGAGAACAGATAAGGGAAAGAGATGACAGACAAACAAAGCAGACTGTACAGTCGTATTCCAAAGTTTTGAGAATGACACAAGTATTGGTCTTCAAAGTTTGCTGCTTCAGTGTTTTTAGATGTTTTTGTCAGATGTTACTATGGTATACTGAAGTATAATTACAAGCATTCCATAAGTGTCAAAGGCTTTTATTGACAATTACATTAAGTTTATGCAAAGAGTCAATATTTGCAGTGTTGACCCTTCTTTTTCAAGACCTCTGCAATCCGCCCTGGCATGCTGTCAATTAACTTCTGGGCCACATCCTGACTGATGGCAGCCCATTCTTGCATAATCAATGCTTGGAGTTTGTCAGAATTTGTGGGTTTTTGTTTGTCCACCCGCCTCTTGAGGATTGACCACAAGTTCTCAATGGGATTAAGGTCTAGGGAGTTTCCTGGCCATGGACCCAAAATGTTGATGTTTTGTTCCCCGAGCCACTTAGTTATCACTTTTGCCTTATGGCAAGGTGCTCCATCATGCTGGAAAAGGCATTGTTCGTCACCAAACTGTTCTTGGATGGTTGGGAGAAGTTGCTCTCGGAGGATGTGTTGGTACCATTCTTTATTCATGGCTGTTTTCTTAGGCAAAATTGTGAGTGAGCCCACTCCCTTGGCTGAGAAGCAACCCCACACATGAATGGTCTCAGGATGCTTTACTGTTGGCATGACACAGGACTGATGGTAGTGCTCACCTTGTCTTCTCCGGACAAGCTTTTTTCCAGATGCCCCAAACAATCGTAAAGGGGATTCATCAGAGAAAATGACTTCACCCCAGTCCTCAGCAGTCCAATCCCTGTACCTTTTGCAGAATATCAGTCTGTCCATTATGTTTTTCCTGGAGAGGTGGCTTCCTCGCTGCCCTTCTTGACACCAGGCCATCCTCCAAAAGTCTTCGCCTCACTGTGCGTGCAGATGTACTCACACCTGCCTGCTGCCATTCCTGAGCAAGCTCTGCACTGGTGGTGCCCCGATCCCGCAGCTGAATCAACTTTAGGAGACGGTCCTGGCGCTTGCTGGACTTTCTTGGGCACCCTGAAGCCTTCTTCACAACAATTGAACCTCTCTCCTTGAAGTTCTTGATGATCCGATAAATGGTTGATTTAGGTGCAATCTTACTAGCAGCAATATCCTTGCCTTTGAAGCCCTTTTTGTGCAAAGCAATGATGACGGCACGTGTTTCCTTGCAGGTAACCATGGTTAACAGAGGAAGAACAATGATTTCAAGCACCACCCTCCTTTTAAAGCTTCCAGTCTGTTATTCTAACTCAATCAGCATGACAGAGTGATCTCCAGCCTTGTCCTCGTCAACACTCTCACCTGTGTTAACGAGAGCATCACTGACATGATGTCAGCTGGTCCTTTTGTGGCAGGGCTGAAATGCAGTGGAAATGTTTTTGAGGGATTAAGTTCATTTTCATGGCAAAGAGGGACTTTGCAATTCATCTGATCACTCTTCATAACATTCTGGATTATATGCAAATTGCCATCATAAAAACTGAGGCAGCAGACTTTGTGAAAATTAATATTTGTGTCATTCTCAAAACTTTTGATCACGACTGTAGACAAAAGTCGGCGAGTTAAGTCGGGGGAGGTGCATCTGCGACAGCCGAAAGTGGGACACTGTAGTGATTTTCAAACAGCAAGGCTCAGATCAACATGGCAGGTAGCCTAGCGGTTAGGTAACCTAGCGGTTAGAGCGTTGGGCCAGTAACCGAAAGGTCGCTTATTTTCCAACAGAAAGTTTTTGATTAGGGCGGCAGGTAGCCTAGTGGTTAGAGCTTTGGGCCAGTAACCGAAAGGTTGATTGTTTCAAATCCGAGTCGGGGTGAAAAATCTGTCGATAGGACAAATATAATCACCCACCAAATTACTATAACATTGTTTACAAATGTTTTTCTGTATAAATGTAGAAATAAACTTCTCTATACCTCCATATCACACACTCACAAACTGAAAACATAACGTGTTTAAAATTAATTGATTAGAGGTCTCAAATATCATTTTCATTTGTATGCCCTGAAGCTTTAGAATCGTGGCAAAGTTGGTTCCTGTTTCAGTTACGTCTTTGGCCACGTTTGAGTGGGTCAAACAAAAACACCCTAATGATTGGTTGACAAATAGTGACTCCCACTATGCAGGTGATGGCTGCATTGTGCAGTTGGTGAGAAGCAACTGCAGCAACCTCATCAAAAACTGCAGGACATTTGATCACGTCAGACAATTTTCATAATCATAATGCAACCATTTTCATAATCATAATGCAACAATTTTCATAATCATAATGCAACACACTTTAAAAGGCGGTGAACAACAATGGTCACCGACTTGACAAAATGTATCCGCTCGAATGTGTCCAGTGGTTGCTCCTTACCCATACTGCCTCTGGATCAGGGCGGGGTGGACCTGCTGCACTTTGATGGAGAAACCTGAGAGAGAACAGATAAAACATGGCAGGGTTAGAGACCATCAGATACTGAAAAGAGAGAAGACAACAGCTAGGGACATCATCTGAGCTACTGGCAGGACAGACAGACAGTCTGCATAGTGGACAGTGTTCCTGGAGGAAGAGTTCCTACCATCTCTCTTTCCCTCCCTCTTTCCCTCACTCCCTCCCTCTCTTGGTAAGCTGAACAGACTCTGACATTGTTTAAACAAGTGAAATAGAGAATCTACAGGGACACTGATGAGAATCAACACACATTCGCTGACACATTCTCTCTCTCTCTCTCACACACACACACACGTGCTGACTAGGGCTGTCCCAGACTAAAAATCTTGGTCGACCAAGAGTCGTCTGTTCTTTCGAACAATCGATTGGTAAACATTTTTAAACGTATATTTTTCCATATATAGACACATCCTATGTCTTTTAATCAAATCAACTTTATGCACTGAGCTTGTCTGATGCTTTAAGCGCACTGTTCAATTAAATAATTAAGACACACAAATGACTAGAGGCAGTCTGACCGAAATTGATTTGATTGTGCTCAGACTTGCTGCCCTGTGTTAAGAAAAATTACAGTGAGTGACTGTGTGACTAGCACCCGTTGTCTCTCTCTCCTCTATGCTGCAGCGACCACTACAGAACTTCAACAGTGTTTATTGCGCTGTCTATGTTGCTGAAGCTGCAACACAATTACAGCCATTTTTTACTGAAAAGTTCTGTTACCAAAATCCCTCATTTGCTTATGATAAACATTCCCTATTCCCTCAACCCTTGCTCTCTTTACGTACACATGTATGCATCACATGCACGTAACAATAGGGCCTGACCTATAGCATATCCTAATCACATCAATAAATTGGTTATAACAAACCAAATACATGTGACAGCAAAATAGATGCAAAGGATGTGACAAATAAACTCGAAACTGGGGAATTTTTACTGGTTGCTCAGGAGGTAAAGGGGAAGTCGGATGTGTGGAATACATTTGACTAGTTGTGGAAAATACTGGAGATCAAGAAAAAGAAGGCAAGGAGCAAGCGCTGCGTTCATATTATATGTGCCAAATAGGTGCTGTTAGATTACAATATAATTTTTCTGACCTTTTGGAACAATGTAAACAACACTAAATAAATTATAAGCGTAACAGAGAGTCTATTGTAATGTTTTTTTTGTAAAGCCTTCAATTACAGCAAAGACTAAAAACAGTCGTATTCATTCGTGAATGCAATTTCCAAAATGGAATGGTTTATTTTTATTTTTTTATTTTTTTGGGGGGGGGGAATGGATCAGCTTAATATTGCAGATAGATTGTATCTTCTATCAATGTAATTGTCTGCATCACTTCCAATCCCCCATGTTTTTTTATTTTTATTTTTATTTATTTTTTATTTTTTATATATATACTCCCCTTTATTACTTTTCAACCCCACCATCCTTTCCCTACTTGGAGTAAATTAGTGAACAACAATGCCCAGGCCTCTACTTCCGGTCTATACTTACTATCTACACCTTATGGACAGAGTTAATTTTACAATAATTCTATTATATATATTTTTATTTATTTAATTTTTTATTGCTCCTGAACTTCTTCTACTCTCAACCTCTCCGATCATTTTCATGATGTCCATCCGGTTTGCTTCTATATGCCATATCTTTCTAACTGTGCTCTTTCCCAAAAGCTCCCAACATACAACCTATATACTTATTATGGACACAGTATGCTTACATTATTAGCTATCTTTGTTATTATTTGTTGTTATTTGTTATTAGTCCCATCCTTCAACTCTATTCAATACCTCCCATCTATCTCTTAACACCATCCATATAGGATTTCTATTTGCCATATATATTTCAACCGTACTGTGATGTTTTACAAAAGTTCTGAACCTTTCTATTCTCATTGCTTCTACAGATTGTGAATTAAAAATAAACATTTTTGCTAAAAGTATTATTATATTATTGATTGATTGACTATGACTTTTCAGATCACCCAGTAATGCTATCTGCAAGGTTAGTTCCAGGTAAATATTGCAATCCTTTAGCCATTCCTGGACCTGTGTCCAAAAACAAGCTACAAATGGACAGAACCAAAACAAATGATCTAATGATTCTGTCTCTTCACAGCAAAATCTGCAGAGCTGGGAAGATTGTATCCCCCATATAAATAACATTATATTGGTAGCAAGAATTTTATATAATAATTTAAATTGAAAGATTCTAATTTTTGAATCCGGTGTCGTTTTGCGTGTCAGTTCATAAACACTATGCCATGGGATCGGTACGTCAAAGATCTCTTCCCAACTATTTTGCAATCTATATGGGACGGCTTTCAATCCTTTGGTCCTTAAGTGAAACTGATATACTTTTTTATTTATTTGTTGTTTGTGCTAATTATTCAAGGGTCGCTTTATTTTAAAACGAAAATGCTTGATTGCAATTGAAATCAACTAATGAATGATTTATTGATACAGTAGCCTATATAAGTATTGAAATATAGGCCTAAGTAAGTTATGGTTTTAAGACTAAACAGGATGTGCTCTTTACCTACAGCTCGGTGGAGGTTATTCAAGGCTGCTATACTAAGCCTACTAATGAAAACAACATTAGTTATTATTATAATGATGATCATAAAACTAACAAAAAATTACTAAATAGTAATAATAACAATAAGGAGATCAAGAAAAAGGAGGGTTATTATTATTATAAATATTATTTTTCTGACAATTCGGAAGAGTGTAAACAACACTAAATAAATGATAAGTAATAGCAGAGACGATGTTCTAACGAAAAAAAGTGTAAAACCTTTATTACAGCATAGCAAAGATTAAAAACAGCAGAATTTGTGAAATTGTTAATCCGACATGTTGCCTGAGGCTTGGTGCTCACAGAATCACTAGGCTATTAAACACTCAAACAGAAGCAGATCTGTCTTATTTCTGTAGATGTATATGGATGATTTATAAAGCCAGGCACATTTAACAGTTAGGCTATTGATTATAGACCTAATTAAGATGGCGTTTCCTCTCTCCTCACTTTTCTTAGACAATTAAGGCAAGTGCTGATTTCTCATCTCCTAACTCCGCTGCTGCCTCCGCCACATTGCTCTCAACACCAATATGCTGGTTAACTTTGCTATTATGCACATAGCAACATGGTTTAGGAAAAGGCGTCAATTCAACAGCGCACTGATGTTTCAGAACCACGGACAGCGACCGCTGTCCAACGTGGGAGAAAGTGCCAACAGCCTATTGACCAAACAATCGACTAAATTGGTTCTTCCTAGAATTAAGGAGCCAGGAAGAGCGAGAGAGAGAGGAGCGAAAGGGAGGCGGATAGAGAGAGAAGAGAGGAGGAGAGAGGGAGAGAGAGCTCGCGCGAGAGAGAGGAGAGAGAGCGAGAGGAGAAGAAGGCAGGCCGTAGAGAGGAGGAAGGCAGGAAGTCCTTCCGTCACTTCAGTCAGGTAATTAATTACTTACCGTAAGTTTCCTTCCGGCCGGCCGTCAATTCATTCCTTCCTTCCTTCCTTCCTTTCTATCTATCCTGCCTCCCTATCTCTCAATCTCTCACTCCCCTCCTTTCTTCTCACTAACACTTAATGTTCCTGTAACTCTTCGCACACACACGCACGCACACACACCCCATGGTCATTCTCTCCTGTTGTGTTTATCATGATTCCCTGGGTGAGGGGAGTCACACAGAACAAGGAAGAGACAGATCTGTTGTTATTTCTCCCCCTCTCTCTCTCTCTGTCTGTCCCTTCCCCCTCCATCTCCCTTCCCCCTCTCTCATAAACAGCCACTCTCTCACACACACACACACACACACACACACACACAACAAAATACCAAGCTCTGACATACACTGAGTGTACAAAACATTAGGAACACCTTCCTAATATTGAGTTGCACCACCTTTTGCCCTCAGAACAGCCTCAATTTGTCATGGACTCTACAATGGGATGCTGGCCCATGTTGACTCCAATGCTTCCCACAGTTGTGTCAAGTTGGCTGGATGTCCTTTGGGTGGTAGACCATTCTTGATACAAACGGGAAACTGTTGAGCGTGAATAACCTAGCAGCGTTGCAGTTCTTGACACACTCAAACCGGTGCGCCTGGCACCTAATACCATACCCCGTTCAAAGGCACTCAAATATTTTGTCTTGCCCGTTCACCCTCTGAATGGCACACATACACAATCCATGTCTCAATTGTCTCAAGGCTTAAAAATCATTCTTTAACCTGTCTCCTCCCATTAATCTACGCTGATTTAAGTGGATTTAACAGGTGACATCAATAAGGGATCATAGCTTTCACCTGGATTGACCTGGTCAGCCTATGTCATGGAAAGAGCAGTGTTGATAATGTTTTGTACACTCAGAGTATATGCATGGCCTCTTCAGAGAGGACCAAATGAAACAAAGTGCCATAGGCAGTTGGATACTTTGTGTACTTTGCTGCAGTCATTAACAGCAAGAAAGGGATCACAGTCATACTGTAGTGCAGACAACACAAGGAACCTGGCTGTATCTCCATCTTTCCACAAGGAACAACAGACATCAGCCAACCCCCCCCACATGCCTACCCCACAGGACCTGTCAGTCACCCTCTGCCCACATGCTGGCTGCCCAGCACGCACTCCAATTGGTTATCTTCTTTCACTTGCAAATTGACCTGTGCATTATTTATGAGTTTATTTGGATGGAGAGATACAGGCGCTACCTAACTAACTGGTCCGCTGTTGAGTCGACCCAGGTGCAGCCCTACCCTACAGCATGGCACAGTGGAAGGCATAAAGACAAGGACAGGATCTAAGTACAGCACCGGTGGCCATATGTACTCTCTAAATGGCACACATAGACAATCCATGTCTCAATTATCTCAAGGCTTAAAAATCCTTCTTTAACCTGTCTCCTCCCCATCATCTACACTGATTGAAGTGGATTGAACAAGTGACATCAATAAGGGATCATAGCTTTCACCTGGATTCACCTGGTCAGTCTGTCGTGGAAAGAGCAGGAGTTCCTAATGTTTTGCACACTCATCGTAGCTCATCAACTGCATGCTTGGAGTGTAACGAGAGTAACAACAACCCAATATCAAGATACAGTACACTACTGTTGCCACTACTGCGCGTCGGTCACACATAGGCTGCATCTAAATTCTCTTTACAGTGGTGCATTACTTTTGAGCCCAATATTTTTCCATAGACTCCACAGAGTGACAGGAGTGAGGGAAAGTTGTGGTGGTTTGGTATGTTTGTGTAGTCTGAAGAGGAGCAGAGCAGATATAGGCTGGTGTTTCACACTGTATGTGCCTGACCACATGGCGCCCTCAGGGAGAAGCTGTGTGTGGTGTGTGTACCGTATAATGTAGAGGAATGTAGCTATAATAGTAGTCAGCTGAGAGTGTGTGCGCGTGTCATCTGCTCAACTGTTTGCGTAGTGTGTCTGTGTATGCGTATGCGGTCTCTCTGTGTGTGTGTGTGTGTGTGTGTGTGTGTGTATGTTTGCATGACTCACCTGTCTGTGGGCTTCGGGGCTTGGCTCCCAGGTAGGCCAGGTTGACGTTAGTCTTCCTACCGTCGACGACGGGGTTGGGGTCTTTACATGCTTGCTCTGCCGCCCCCCTGTCAATCATAGTCACCTGACAGGAAGAGGAAGGAACACACAGGTTTACGATTCAGGAAGTGACCAATATCGATTTTATAAAATACTTATCCCTTAACTTGTATCTCACCAATAAATTCCTGTATTCCCTGTGCTGTTTGAGCTCTAGTCCTGGATCCATATAGATAGAAAGATCCTGTGTGCTTATAACATAATGTGTGATGGTAATGTATGAAACTGAGTACAGTGCCTTGTAAAAGCATTCATCCCCCTTGGCGTTTTTCCTATTTTGTAGCATTACAACCTGTAATTTAAATGGACTTTTATTTGGATTTCATGTAATGAAAAAAAGTACTTATTATTAAGGAATTTCTAAAAAATTCTAAAAAATTCTAAAAAATAAATAATGGAAAAGTGGTGCGTGCATATGTATTCACCCCCTTTGCTATGAAGCCCCTACATAAGATCTGGTGCAACCAATTACCTTCAGAAGTCACATAATTAGTTAAATTAAGTCCACCTGTGTGCAATCTAAGTGTCACATGATCTGTCACATGATCTCAGTATACAGTGGGGAAAAAAAGTATTTAGTCAGCCACCAATTGTGCAAGTTCTCCCACTTAAAAAGATGAGAGAGCGGCCTGTAATTTTCATCATAGGTACACGTCAACTATGACAGACAAAATGAGGAAAAAAAATCCAGAAAATCACATTGTAGGATTTCTTTTGAATTTATTTGCAAATTATGGTGGAAAATAAGTATTTGGTCAATAACAAAAGTTTCTCAATACTTTGTTATATACCCTTTGTTGGCAATGACACAGGTCAAAGGTTTTCTGTAAGTCTTCACAAGGTTTTCACACACTGTTGCTGGTATTTTGGCCCATTCCTCCATGCAGATCTCCTCTAGAGCAGTGATGTTTTGGGGCTGTCGCTGGGCAACACAGACTTTCAACTCCCTCCAAAGATTTTCTATGGGGTTGAGATCTGGAGACTGGCTAGGCCACTCCAGGACCTTGAAATGCTTCTTACGAAGCCACTCCTTCGTTGCCCGGGCGGTGTGTTTGGGATCATTGTCATGCTGAAAGACCCAGCCACGTTTCATCTTCAATGCCCTTGCTGATGGAAGGAGGCTTTCACTCAAAATCTCACGATACATGGCCCCATTCATTCTTTCCTTTACACGGATCAGTCGTCCTGGTCCCTTTGCAGAAAAACAGCCCCAAAGCATGATGTTTCCACCCCCATGCTTCACAGTAGGTATGGTGTTCTTTGGATGCAACTCAGCATTCTTTGTCCTCCAAACACAACGAGTTGAGTTTTTACCAAAAAGTTCTATTTTGGTTTCATCTGACCATATGACATTCTCCCAATCCTCTTCTGGATCATCCAAATGCACTCTAGCAAACTTCAGACGGGCCTGGACATGTACTGGCTTAAGCAGGGGGACACGTCTGGCACTGCAGGATTTGAGTCCCTGGCGGCGTAGTGTGTTACTGATGGTAGGCTTTGTTACTTTGGTCCCAGCTCTCTGCAGGTCATTCACTAGGTTCCCCCGTGTGGTTCTGGGATTTTTGCTCACCGTTCTTGTGATCATTTTGACCCCACGGGGTGAGATCTTGCATGGAGCCCCAGATCGAGGGAGATTATCAGTGGTCTTGTATGTCTTCCATTTCCTAATAATTACTCCCACAGTTGATTTCTTCAAACCAAGCTGCTTACCTATTGCAGATTCAGTCTTCCCAGCCTGGTGCAGGTCTACAATTTTGTTTCTGGTGTCCTTTGACAGCTCTTTGGTCTTGGCCATAGTGGAGTTTGGAGTGTGACTGTTTGAGGTTGTGGACAGGTGTCTTTTATACTGATAACAAGTTCAAACAGGTGCCATTGATACAGGTAACGAGTGGAGGACAGAGGAGCCTCTTAAAGAAGAAGTTACAGGTCTGTGAGAGCCAGAAATCTTGCTTGTTTGTAGGTGACCAAATACTTATTTTCCACCATAATTTGCAAATTAATTAATTAAAAATCCTACAATGTGATTCTCTGGATTTTTTTTCTCATTTTGTCTGTCATAGTTGACGTGTACCTATGATGAAAATTACAGGCCTCTCTCATCTTTTTAAGTGGGAGAACTTGCACAATTGGTGGCTGACTAAATACTTTTTTCCCCCACTGTATATACACCTGTTCTGAAAGGCCCCAGAGTCTGCAACACCACTAAGCAAGGGGCACCACCAAGCAAGCAGCACCATGAAGACCAAGGAGCTCTCCAAACAGGTCAGGGACAAAGTTGTGGAGAAGTACAGATCAGGGTTTGAACATCCCACGGAAACTTTGAACATCCCACGGAGCACCATTAAATCCATTATTAAAAAATTGAAAGAATATGGCACCACAACAAACCTGCCAAGAGAGGACGGCACACCAAAACTCACGGACCAGGAGAGGAGGGCATTAATCAGAAAGGCAACAAAGAGACCAAAGATAACCCTGAAGGAGCTGCAAGGCTCCACAGCAGAGAATGGAGTATCTGTCCATAGGACCACTTTAAGCCGTACACTCCACAGAGCTGGGCTTTACGGAAGAGTGGCCAGAAAAAAGCCATTGCTTAAAGAAGAAAATAAGCAAACACGTTTGGTGTTCGCCAAAAGCCATGTGGGAGACTCCCCAAACATATGGAAGAAGGTACTCTGGTCAGATGAGACTAAAATTGAGCTTTTGGCCATCAAGGAAAACGCTATGTCTGGCGCAAACCCAACACCTCTCATCACCCCGAGAACACCATGTTTTTCATAGGCAGGGACTGGGAAACTGGTCAGAATTGAAGGAATGATACAGGGAAATTCTTGCGGGAAACCTGTTTCAGTCTTCCAGAGATTTTAGACTGGGACAGAGGTTCACCTTCCAGCAGAACAATGACCCAAAGCATACTGCTAAAGCAACACTCGAGTGGTTTAAGGGGAAACATTTAAATGTCTTGGAATGGCCTAGTCAAAGCCCAGACCTCAATCCAATTGAGAATCTGTGGTATGACTTAAAGATTGCTGTACACCAGTGGAACCCATCCAACTTGAAGGAGCTGGAGCAGTTTTGCCTTGAAGAATGGGCAAAAATCCCAGTGGCTAGATGTGCCAACTGTAATTGCTGCAAAAGGTGGCTCTACAAAGTATTGACTTTGGGGGGGGGGGGGGGGGGGGGGGGGGGGGGGTGAATAGTTATGCACGCTCAAGTTGTCTGTTTTTTGGTCTTATTTCTTGTTTGTTTCACACACAAAAATATTTTGCATATTCAAAGTGGTTGGCATGTTGTGTAAATCAAATGATACAAACCCCCAAAAAATCCATTTTAATTCCAGGTTGTCAGGCAAAAAATAGGAAAAATGCCAAGGGGGTGAATACTTTCGCAAGCCACTGTATTTCAGGTACGAGCCGTCTGCTCGTCTCTCAAGTTCAGGCCCATGGGAAGGGCACCGGCATCCTGACCTATCACAGGAAATGGTGGGCATCTGGGTGTGCAGGGAGGGGTAGGGGGGTATCTTTCAATTCTATGATTATTTTACTAACAATGGGATGCTAAATAAGAGCCATCACCAACATGGTACATCGAAACACACACACACACACACTCAGTGTCTTTCTCGCACACAAACGCACCTGTGACCACATCTATTACAGTATATATGACATTATTAATAATAATACAATTAATTTGTATAGCACTTTTCATTACAGAGTCCTCAAAGTTCTACTGAGGAAATAAATGTTTTATATACAATAAATACTAGATACATTTAGAATCAAGGCAGGTAAAATAGCAATAGTGGGCTAGGTGCTAAATATACTGAACAAAAATATAAACACAACATGTCAAGTGTTGGTCCCATGTTTCATGAGCTGAAATAAAATATCCCAGAAATGTTCCATATACACAAAAAGCTTATTTCTCTCCAATTTTGTTTACATCCCTGTTAGTGAGCATTTATCCTTTGCCAGGATAATCCATCCACCTGACAGGTGTGGCATATCAAGAAGCTGATTAAACAGCATGATCATTACACAGGTGCACCTTGTGCTGGAGACAATAAAAGTCCACTCTAAAATGTGCAGTTTTGTCACACAACACAGTGCCACAGATGTCTCAAGTTGAGGGAGCGTGCAATTGGCATGCTGACTGTAGGAGTGTCCACCAGAGCTGTTGAATGTTCATTTCAGCGCCCCTGCCCAGTCATGTGAAATCCATAGATTAGGGCCTAATGAATTTATTTCAATTGCCTGGTTTCCTTATATGAACTGTATGAACATGTTGCGTTTATATTTTTGTTCAGTATACATCTTAGATTGGGACTAGGACTATGAAAAAGACAGTCTGTAGAAGTGGGTTTTAAAGCCCGTTTTAAGAGTTCTGTGTGATGGAGAGGCTCTCAGATGGTCAGGAAGAGCATTCCTTAGGTGAGGGGCAAGGGAGCAGAAGGCTCGGTCTGCCATAGTTCTGAGATATGTCTTGGGGACTTGAAGCAGAAGAGAGTGGCTGGAGCAGAGAGTGCAAAGTGGCTCGCTGATTGAGATGAGGTCACTGATGTGGAGCTGGGCCAGGATCGGGGTGATGTGGTCTGACTTCTTGGTCCTGGTCAGGACCCTGGCAGCACTTTTCTGGATTAGTTGGAGGCTATGTAGTGATTTGGCTGGGAGGCCCCCAAACAGCGCATGGCCGAAGATGAAGGCGTGGATGAGTTTCTCTGCATCTGGCTGGGAAAGTGATGGTATGGGGGTGACTGCCGCTGTTTTGAAGATCAATCGTACCTCTCCGGTCAGCAGGGACTTGTTGATCAGGGTGGTGACAAACATAAGCAGGCTAGATGAGCAGGTTTTGAGTAGGGATAGGGTCAAGGAAGCAAGTGGTGGCCTTCATTTTAGAGATGATTGACTGCACAGCGGAGGATGTGACTTCTTTAAAGCAGCTGAGGGGAGGGGAAGTCTGAGTCGGGGGCTCAGGAAGTGGGGTGCAGGCCGTCTTAGAGGCCATGATGTTTGTCCTGATGGTGTCAATATTTGTCTTGAAAAAATGAGGGAAGTGATTGCATTGCTCAGTTGAGGCTGCAGGAGAGCATGAGTTTGCAGGGTTGAAAAGGTGGTTGATGGTAGAGGACATGGTTCTGGGGTTACCTTTGTTATTGTCAATTGTGGCAGAGCAGTGGAGGCTCTCAGAGGAGGAAGGGGAGGACCATCCTCCTCAGTGAATTTCATAAAAATAAAAATAGTGAAACATTTAAAAAAGTTATCATTTTTAGATATACTAAATATGTTCACGTCACCAAATAATTGATTACAACACACTGTTTTGCAATGAAGGTCTACAGCAGCACATCAGCAATCTCTAGGGTAGCGCCATGGTGTAGCCGGAGGACAGATAGTTTCCGTCCTCCTCTGGGTACATTGACTTCAATACAAAACCAAGGAGGCTCATGGTTCTCACCCCCTTCCATGGACTTACACAGTAATTATGACAACTTCCGGAGGACATCCTCCAACCTATCAGAGCTCTTGCAGCATGAACTAACATGTTGTCCACCCAATCAAAGGATCAGAGAATGAATCTAGTACTGAAAACATAAGCTACAGCTATAGCTAGCACTGCAGTGCATAAAATGTGGAGCGTAGTTGACTCAAAGAGAGAAAGACAATAGTTGAACAGTTTTGAACAAATTATTTTCTTTAAAAATGAAGGAGAAGCAAGAGAGCCAGCTATATTTAGTTAAAAGAAAAACACTTTCACTTTCACTTAGCTAGCGAATGCAGCTAGCTAGTTTAGCCTATTCAAACACCCGGCTCAAATAGAGAGGGACGCAATGTTCGCTAGCTGGCTATGGCTATCCAACACTGGAACTCTTCCATGTCAAGGTAAGCTTTTGGTTTTATTAATTTATTGCCACCGGGGCCTGCCGGTGTAACTGCTAAACTGCTTGCTGACTGTACACTGTACTGCATGATTGTAGCGGGTTTACTAACGCGTTAGTTCTAGTAGCTATGTTGACTATGACATTAGCTAATATGCTGACAATGATGTAGGCTGTGTGTAGCTGTTAGCGGTTATGATATGAAGGTTTGGCTTGGAAAGGTTTTTTCGCCTGGTCACAGACAGCTGATGTGTTGTGCACTGAAGTACACAAGCGAAGGGAAAAGGTGAGAAGAGAGCGCAGAGATGCAAGAAGGAATTATACAACGACAAAATGATCATGCTGTTTGTATGTGGTTGCTATGAAAGTGAACTGTGTTTGTGTGTGATCAGGGGCGTATTCATTCTGCCGATTCTGTTGAAAAACATTTCTTAAAATGGAGCAAACGTAACGAAACGAGGATAAACATACCTGAATTTATCGAATAGAAACTCTCGTTTGCAACCTGATCTAGGATGATTACAGCTAGATGCAGGCAAGAGTGTGCAAGGCAGAATTGAATGTGTCACTGTCTGTCACCTCGATTACTAAAATGTTTATCTCGACCTGTGCACCTACGTTGTACACTTTCATTCATAGGCTAGGTTGTAGCAACCTCATGATGGGTATAGAGAACATTTGGCCAGTAGTTGGACAGTGAGGCCATCCTTCCTCCAATGTCTCTCAAGCTTACGGCCATGAGTCTTCATTCTGTGCAGTTCATCAGTGACCCAAGGAGAAGAGCGTTGGAATGTTACTTCACTTGTTTTTTCAGGGGCAAGGATGTTCAGGGTATTACTCACAGTGCTGTTATACAGATTGACAATGTCATCGAGGGCCAGCTCACTGCAGTCAGACTCAAAGGTGAAAGAGGGATGGGTTACGTTTCCTCAGGTTGCAGAATTGAATGGTCTTCTTTGGGCGGTGGAGAGGAGTTGGAGCGGTCAGAGCCATGATTTCAGAGACGCCTAGCTCGATGACATCCAAGTCAGAGGTAGGGACATCACCAGTGATAATGAGGTCCAATGTGTATCCATGGTTGTGGGTGGGAACATTTACATATTGCACAAGGTTTAGGCCAGGGATGGGCAACTTTCATGGGGGTGGAGGCCACAAAATAATCGGAACTTATGAGGGGCCGCAGTTGCTTGCGTGTCTGCGTACCCACATCCAATATTTTAACAAGTTTTAAAGTTAATGTTGTGAAATTGTACACATTTTCCCATGGGGTTTTGAGAAAATGTTGCAGGTTTAAAGCAAGTTTGCTGCAATTCTACACATTTTGCCATGGGGCAGAGTGGAAAATGAGTTGTTTTACAGCCAATTTCCTGCAATTCTAAATATTTTGCCATAGGGTGGAGAGAAATGTTTGCAGTTTTGAATATGATATCTGAGTGAGACTAATAAAATCAATTGGTGCCCCCCTGGCCAAGTTTAGATAGCTGACCGCAAAACTAATTTAGCAATCTACAAAATTTTAGTTGACATGGGCTAATTGACTGACTATCAGTGACTGAGGAAAACAAGAGGAAAACTGCTGATGCACAACCAAAATGTTTGTTTTTTGGGGATTGATCCGAGGGCCTTCAAAAAAGGGGCGGGCGGCCAGTTGCCCATCCATGGTTTTGACAGTTAAGGAAGTCAGCAGCCATAGAGCACTTGGGTGAGTCAAAATGGATGTTAAAGTCTCCCAAAATTACAATGTTGGAGAGGGTGCCGCATACAGAGATTATTATTTCAGAAAACTCAGAGGGGGGCGGTTAACAAGAATAACAGTGAGAGGACTTGGTTGTTTACATTTAAGAGCAAAGCACTCAAAAGACTGAAAATCAGCAACAGCCAGTGGGTTTAAAATAATGCAGTCTGTATAAAACAGCAAGGCCTTCACAGTGGCCTCGTGCATTTTCAATGTATTTGTATCCAGGCGGAGCTGATTCATTAAGATGGTAAGTCTACCTCTCTGTGCCATGTTTCAGTGAGGCAGATCATGTCAGTCATTATCAGAGATAAACTCATACAGAAGAGGAGACTTGTTTGTTAATAAGGATTGTAAATTGTAGAATGTAAAACGGGTTGAGTCATTGGTAGAAACAGTTTCATTACATTTTGGTTGGTCCACTGCGCTCTGTATTGACTGTATATGGCTTGGAGTGGGTGACGTAATTTGCCTGAGGGTCAGTCTGCAGAACTGGCAAGTGATCTTTATTGTCCAACTCCGGTGTGCATGTTGTACTGGTCGCATTGCAAGTGCACACAATAGACTTTAATTTACTGATCAGTTTCCTACCGCCTCGTCGTCCTCATGTTTTCCAAAAGATCCCGTATTGCATAAGGCTGTTCTTGAGCTCCTTGCACAAGGTTGTTTTAATTGGTTAAACATTTCAGAGAAATCCTTGTGTGTAGTGGAGGAAAGTTGCTGCCATTTCTTAATCTTTGGTCCAGCCTTCAGTCCAGGTGAGATGAGAAGAGATGAGAGTAAGATCTAGGCTGGTATTCGAATCCAAACAATTAGCTAGTTGATTGGAGAAGTAGGCTAATATATTTTCTAGTTTAACGTTTTTGTTTAAGATAACTAGGTTTTAGTATTCACTACTTGATTAGCTTTAAAAAATAAAAAAAAGTTGATAGTTATAATGCACATAAAAAACACTTTATACATTATAGATTAATTCACAGGAGTAAACTATCAAGGCTGCCACTAGGCGCCATGGCAACCATTACAGTAAGAGTAGTCACAAACTCTGCTAATAAATTAGGCGAGGTGAACTGATATTAGTAACAACGTCAAGTCGCCAAACAGTACAGGGCATTGATGTCACAGCATTATTATTTTGCTTTTATTTCAAGGCACCAGACTATGGGGTTCTATGCTAACAGTGGCTGTGCTGTGGATGGGTTGATTGATGTGTTTCTAGAGGCTGCTGGGGGAATTAGACTGCTATGGGAAGTCAGGGGTGAAATGGGCAGACTGTACAGGTTGGGCCAGAGACAGAACACACGCTGGTTGGCTGGATAAACTCATCAACATGTCTATCAACAGGCAGGCAGGGAAAATATGCATTGCTTTAAGTCCCCTCATCGCTCTCTTCTGTCTTATTTTCTGTCTAACTGACCCTCTCCCTTCCCCCCTCTCTCATAACCACACACAGCTTGGCAGAGGGGGGTGGTGTGTGTGTGGAAGTCAAAATAGAACTGCAGCCTTATCTCAGAGCACCAACTGACATGTCACACCTCTGTGACCAGGGGGACTGCATTCTGCTGACACACAACCTCTCTCAGAGGGAGGGAGAGAAAGGGGAATAGGGAGAAGGGGTAAAAAATGAGGATGGGAAACAGAGAGAAAAAGGGGCAGAGAGATCATTCAGGCCTAGTAACTGATGCATTTGCTGCATTAGGTCTCTCCTCAGCCGTTCTGTTTTGAACTGAGTAAATACATTTCTGTGCCTATGAGTGCGAAATATTTCAGGGCAAATAAAACCCTCCCGCTTGGCCATCTCACAATCTTTCAGCTCTTATTCATTATGCACATATATTTGCTGTAGCTCAGTTGGTAGAGCATGGCGCTTGCAACGCCAGGGTTGTGGGTTCGTTTCCCACGGGGGGGCAGTATGAAAATGTATGCACTCACTAACTGTAAGTCGCTCTGGATAAGAGCGTCTGCTAAATGACTAAAATGTAAAATGTTACTTATTCTGTGTGTTTGTCTGCGTGAGAGAGAGAGAGAGAGAGAGAGAGAGAGAGAGAGAGAGAGAGAGAGAGAGAGAGAGAAAGAGTGTGTGAGCATGTGTGTTTGGAAGGGGAAGGGGAGGGGGTTGTTGTTCAGAACTCAAGAGATAATTGATGTTATGCTTTTTAAGGAATAATCTACTCATGCTAAAACATGTGACTGCAAAACCATACACACTGCACACA